GCCCTTCCAGTCTCACCCCCTCTTACGACAAACAGTACGCCCGTGGACGTTTTCAGCCATGCATACGGATAGAACGTTACTGAGTCGTCTCCTCGACGTGGTGGTGGATACTTGCACAGGATGCAGTGGGTGGGCAACGGTTCATGACTAGTACTTCTCTCAGATCAGTCACGATTTCTTTTAGCTGTGTATTTAGTCATAGGTGTGTTACTCCTTTTACACGTCACGCATAGATGTCGACTGCCTCACGGGCCCTTCAAAAACGCGTTTTAGTTGTTGGATCCAGATCATCCATGGTTGGTATGCGTCACTGGGTGTTTGCAGCGGCATTCTTAGCGTGACGTGATTGTCGCATGAGGAATGGAGCTGCTCGTCCAAGTGCTTCCCCAGGCAATGCGGACCTTCTCTTTTGCTGTACCTACGAAAAACCAAGCTCCTCCTCTTAACAAGGTTGTCTATCGCTGGATAAAAGGACTCGTTAGCAGGACACTCCGGTGGCACTGTCGAATATACTTCGGGACCTAGTGAAGCGATGCGTAACGCTGAGGAAAGTTGCTCCGCATAAATTAGTTTATATGTGAGCGAAGCCTTGATACAGCTATGGATAACGGGAGCGGTTCAGGGTGATCACATTACAGCGCATAATGCCACCTTTTCAGTGCGGTGAAGAGGTGAACACTATCAATCATGTTTTATTGTATGTATAATGCCTTAGTTGATCGCGGTGTTCGATCGGCACATCAATTGTCAGGCCGAACACCATCGCACATACTTGAAAGTCCAACACTGGGTACAGCATTGCGGCGAGCTGACATTCGTATCACGTAGCTTCGGACATGACCCAAGGTACAACAAAGGAGAATAGCCATGATGCGTGAAGCCAATGAAGTGTTACCCAAACGATGTAAGTAACTTTTGCTTTATTCGTTGTTGAAGGAACGTGCATAAGATATCTGGTGAGATAAAGATGACCTCGTTAGTGGAAACGTTCAGCTTGGATGTGTATGATAAGTAGTCACACAACTCGATGCTGACGCATTTCTCACAGAACGCGAATTAGGGAAGATGTGGCCATCCGAAAATTGTCGGGTTTTGTGGTGACATAAACTGATATACACATTCTGTAGCCAGATATTCAATGAAGTTTAGCTGAAGTATTGCTATTCATTATGTATCCGGCGTCGTCTGAATTACCAACCTTCAAAATCGATTGACTTTCCGGGATACGTCTGCCGGGCCTACGGCTATTGGCATTCTCTAATCGTTTTCGACAGCTCGTACACATGGTGCAGTCCCCATTCTAGCAAATGGATCTTCACATACCATAGACCCAGTGCGAATATTCGGGAATGACGGCTATACTCGCTCATGAGGATCACCAGTGGGACCCTCTTATATATATCATTTTTCCAGTGTGGTCCCAACCATACGGCTGATGTGCTTACGCTCCCGCAAGATATTCTTCTGTCCAGGGATTCGGCGAAAAACGACTTATGACGCCCAATAGCTTTGCCTTCGACACTTGTAATGATTTCCTGCAGCAAAAAAGACCACCTTTCAGCAAAGAACGTCAGTCCGAGAGAGAAATTTCGTGACAAAGGTGTGGCTTATATGCACCAGCGAATGGTTCAAGAAAGTAAGTTCAGCGCGTCACGAAGAGCAGTCGCCAATCGTTGATTTCGATTACATAACCCCAAGCAGAAGGAAGATCCAACGTCTGCTCCGCGCTGGCACTTCCATGCAAGGGGTAGATGAAACAGGCAGAATTGTGGCAGGGCGAATGGTCACTTGAAGTACCGGAACCACAGTTCCAAGCACGCAAGCAAAGAGCAACTTCACCTTGTTTACAAGGTCACTGCACCCCGAAATTTGTCGCGCATTTTTCGGCAACCGCGATCCTCCTGAAAACAAAGTCCGATTCAAATCATGGTGGCAATGAATTGCAGGCATGTAATTATGTAGGATTGTAGGCTTAGCCCATCCAAGCTCGATGCCAATGCACTGCCGCGCTGTCTACTTGCGAACAAGGCTGGGGAAACACTGCAGAGACAGAGGAGTTGACAGCGGAGCAATGAGCGGTATATGATCTTTAGACATCGAAATCTCGCATGTAAATTATAGGGATCTATGTCGCATCTGTAAACAAGGCGCCTGCCATCCCCGACGGCCCTATCTTCTAGTTCTATAACGATTGGCGTATTGTTCGTCATGAACCAAACAGTATCTAAAAGGTAGGCCCTCCAAAGGGGAGAGCCCAGCACCTTCGATCCGGCAAAAACTCGGGGGACAAACTAATTTTCAGACTGGAAGAGAACGCCTATGAATGGGTAACGGCGATGGTTAGAAAATGACTAGCAGGTACAAAAGTAAATAGCAGGGCAAGGTCGGCCAACAGCCAGAAGCTAGGTCAGTACATTCACGGTGTGGTAGCCGTCGTCTTGCATTTTGCTGAGATCACGAGTGCAGGAGAGGCAAGAAGAAAGAGGAGAGAAGCAAGGGGAGGAAGGACGAGTGCACTGAAATACCCTGGAACACGAGGCAGCATGCCTTATCTCCTCTGCCCTATGCCGCAACTCAGCAGACAGCTCTCTTCCAGAAGGCCCAGATTTAGTATACTGGTGATACCACAAGCCAATACAATTACCTACCTCGTCATCGCAATACATTATGCAAGCCTGGGGTGGACGCCTGACTTTTTGATGCTCACTGTATACGAATTGAAGGTGCTGGAGAACGAGGTAAAAGGCAATGTATATTTGACTACTGTTTCATGATCAGAGTCATCTGACTGATGGAGACACTTGTTGAACGCAGATTGGATATCGCTAACAATTGACTTGTCGATATTGTTCACATAGATGGCAGTTCTGTCGAGATGATCTGCGGAAATCCGTGGAGCCGTTCACTCAGAATGTCTTCGATACTGGCATCCGTAAAATGCTTCTGCTGGTCTGTCAAATATTATTTTTCATCCATCCATATCCCGGACCGATGCTTTCCTGGACGCAGTTAGCCCTTGGAATTAAACACAGTCATGGGATCGGCACAAGATCCACGCCTGGGACCAAAGCGATGCTGACAAGAGCGCAGATCGGGTGACGTAGCACTTACCTGAGAGATAAATGGGGGCTGTGTTGAAGAGCATAAGTTGCCCGCTTCCCACTGGTTCTTAGAGATAAGCATTCTTGTAACCAGGGGGTGGGTATATCCTGACTGTATCGCAGGGGCTGCAAACCAGTTCATTAGTCATGTCATTTGCGTAGCAGATGCACAAGCACCACGCGGTTCAGGTCAAGCCTCAGTTGCATCTGCACCATCTCTCATGGTGTCTGATTCTTCATCTCTTGCACTTGTGCAGGGTCAAATATTTCCACAGCATGTTAGCAAAGTGTTAGCCCAAAAAAAATGAACACACCATGTCTATCCGCTATCTGCTCGAATTGCTTCATAACAGAAGAACCCAGTGCTTTGCATGGTTTACTGATGGCTGTAGTGTGCTTTCTGTTGGGACGGCGAGAGTGGCAAGGGCGAGGGGAGTCCAGTGCAGCGGGGGTGCAACACCAAGGTTGCGTTTGAAAAACTCATGTAACCTGGTACGAAGGGACGCAAATGGTGAAGCTCTTCAAGTGTGCACATACTGGTAACAGGGTAGCCACGGCAACTCCGGCAGTTTAGCAGTGATCCTGGCCTGCACATCACCACTTTCCTCGCAAGTTCTCCACTCTCGCTTCAGTATGTAGACAGCGCCACGCCAATCCCCCCTACTGGCATCCAACCAGGCAAGCATAGGTAGGGACATGGAGACAATTATCTTTGGACACAGAGTGACTTCAGCAATGCCAAAATCGAGTAATGACGCTTGCTCAATGCTTTGCAGCGTCGACTTCGGAATCTGAATTGCCGTTAGGCTTACGAGCAATTCGTGCAATCGTATCCTTGAAATCAAACCATCTGTTGACACATGGCCCATTATGGTGTTTACCTATCGAGATGTTGCATTTAAACGATAGTCTTAGTGAGGTTGTTCTGTGTTCGGCTTTTATGTCGCATTCGTAAACAAGGTGCCTGCCGTCCCCGACGGCCCTATCTTCTAGTGATGATTGGGACGCTAAATGGAATCAAACGTATCAGAATTCGGTTGACATTTCCTGGAAAGCGGCGGCCTGAATATTCTCACACAGATTCATTCAGGGTCACCGGACTCCGTTAGGCTGTCAGATAAAATTGATTTTTGAAAGGTAGGTTTATAGTCTCCCTTCATAGGCAAACCATAGTCTCGATGGAAGACAGTCATTTATAGGCTTATACAGACAACTGCCACTGCCGCATAACACTTTAAGTCACTAGGAACCTGGGTACGGGTCGATCTGTGCACTGGTGTACGCCTCTGCAACTCTCTTCTCTCGTACGCTGGATACGCATGAGTACTGCGGCCCCGCTGATACAGCATCTATTGGCAGCGGCGCCAGATTAGTATGGCCCTCGTCTTCGAATGACTCGGCACATAGTGATGCGATCCAACCTGCCAATGGAGTCTATGCAATCCACGGAGCCGCTACCAACGTTGTCGTTCATTTCGCTTGACGTTTGGATTTTGAAACACCCCGAAAACGGATGGAAAGGTAGATGCCATCTGCCCCAGGTCCACGGCCGGAATGTAGCTGTGCGCCCCATTACAGCAATGTATGTCATGGACCCTCCTTATGCAGATCTCCCGATATTGAGAGATAATCCATCGTCACGGCACCAAACCTTTAGAAAACTCACCCATACTCTCCATCAACGGCGCTCGTGTCATGAAACTGCTACGCCTTGTTATTTGGGATCTGCATACGTACTGAGGATACCTAAGCCCTCCGCCTATCATCAGATGCGCCGCTGGTTCCTTTCCTGGCATGAGGGAAGATGATTACTTGCTAGGACCGCGTTGAGCGAAATTCGTACGTAGATGGAGGGCCTCCTACTCCGCCTTCTTCCGCCTCCGCTTAAGACCCCTCCAGTGGCGCCTACCCAAGGAGTTCAGTTGGTATGGTCTGGCACATGTAAAAGAACGGGAAAAGGGAGGCTAGGACACGTTCCTGAGGTAAAAAATGAATCCCCACCCTAATCCGCTCGTGCATGCAGAGGTTTTCAACCCGTACGTCTTACCTGTCTGCTTTTTCCTCGGCCCTGACACGCGTGCCAAGTCGGTCTTACACGCTCAATAATGCTCCTGAGCTGCGGCCGGCCCAACCCGTGCGTTTTCTTGAGTAGAGCATCAAGTGGTTGCTCAGTGTTCGCACAGAAACCGGGCCTCAACGTAGTATACCCTGCTTCTCGAGGAAAGGACGAGGTGTCAGACGGTTCATCACTGCCGTGTTACTCAGGTGAGCCATTAATTTCGACTGACCTGTTTTTGAACCCTGACAAGTACGTCGGTAATTGGACAGGATTCGTCGAGCAGCCGTATTCGACCAGTGCTGGGTATACCTTGGCACCAAACCAAATTGTATGTAACACCTGGTATACAATATATGCCGTGCAGCTCACAGTACAACTCAGTCGGTCGTCTACACCACAATTTATGGAACAAACGTCAATCTTTTGGAATGTTGCAACCGGGTAGGTAGCATCGGTCGCGCTATGCCTGGGCTGACCTCTCTTCCCGGCCGGCATTCCAATCGTCAGATTCAACATCATCCCAACGCGTCCTGCGCACCTGGTAGTAACATTATGGGTGTAGCTACGGAACTGGCTAAAGTGCGTGAAGTACAGGTTTAAACACGTTACCATTACTCAAATACATTAAAGGTGGGCGACGAAACGTTCCAGACGAATCCCAGTCCAGTGCCTCAAAAGAAAGTAAGCAACACTCGCTTTATTTGCAATCGTGACCTGTCGCTCACGCCATGTATCCATGTAGCCTCGTATTAATAAGTATATCAACTGCCCGCCAACAAATTGCCTCTATCCTGGTCCAGATGGGAAATGCTGTTTGCAAGAGGTCACCTATGCCACGGCTGCGGACCATTTTATCATTCACGGAATAACAAAGAAGTCCCGTGATGAGGTAATTCCCTGCCAGTGGGAAGGATGTTCCGCAGAAGTCGTGCGACACAATTTTATCCGCCATATTCGTGAAAGACACCTTGGACACAAGAGGGAATCTGCCGTCCACGCCTCCGGGAAAGAACGTGGACAACGCACTTCCAGTGCCTGATTAGTTGAGGTGGAGATGTCTCGTCGATCGAGGTATCAGTCTGGATGTGAGTACATCTTCAGCAGACGACACTTCGAGTCTGTAGCTCACGCAGAATACCAGTTAAAAGTTTCGCGATCTGCTAGTGTTAAATCGTAAACGCGTTTCACAGTTGTAGGTTTCGGTCCAACACATTCGAGCAATCGAGTTCACATAGTAGTTACTCCTTATGTATGATCCATTCACCGGTTTGTTAGACCGTTCCCGGATAGTATTGATACGTATAATTCACAATATGCTGTCTCGAATCCACGTCATATAATAAAGCCCTTTCTTCAAATCTAGTGCTTGAACGCTCTGTTCGTAGATGCCATGGACCACGAATTAGCTCTTGCGTGCCTGCCCAGGGTAAATCTCGCTGTGAAAAAGGATTCGACTGCATCGTTCGTGTTGCTCTTGCAATTGGCTTTAGGATGTTCATCTTCCGAATTTTGCGGAGTTATTCAAAGTCGCTTGTCCGCTCAGCGGACTATGCTCGAGATTTTGGAGAGCGAAACGTCGGACCCTCTAAAATTTTCAACCCAGCGCCAACTTAGCCTGCATATATAATTCGCAAGTGAGGGCTTTAAACATGATGTAGTTTCTCATTCTGGCAGGGAGTTTTCATGTCATGAGCGTGCATGGACATCCAGGGTTTACTCACGAACTCGTTCAAATACAAGCCCAACGTCAGACACCTCGCAGACTCCAAGTTCATGCTTCCTGGAAACCTGGAAGTCCCATTTGAAATCGACCTTTTGCACTCGATCCTCTCTATACAAGCAGTTGGATGGACGACTAATCTGTTTATGCTTTTGCAAAGGTATGCGTTTTGAACAGGATCTTCTTCCTCCAATGATGCAAGCGACGAATTCTCCCCGCCTTCATGTCGACAGCTGCAAGATCTGTTTTGGTAGGAATGAATTATGACGCCTGTATGGGCGAGATTATGTAGCAGCAAAGATGGGGATCGCCCACACCGTGACCGATTCAGGTAAGATTATGTTTCGAGATGTATCTGATCGATCGTTGACCCCAAGTGAAACGAAGATCGAATATCTGCTTCGTGCCAGTCCCTTTGGGTAACCGATGAGTCAATGAAAGGCTAATCTAGCAGGCGAGAAGGGTGGCAGAGCGGAAGTCCCACAAGACAGCCCTTTGGCGGCCACTCGGACTCGCCTGTCTGTTACCTTGTATGGCTAACTGGCTTGTCGCCACCGTTGCAGGGCTACCAGACTAAAGAGATGAGACGTATTTGGCCTGTGCTGGTTGCGTACTGTCGCTGCGGCGAGGATCATCGTCGCGATTCGTTATCAGGCGAATCTTTTCCACTGCAAACGTCCAATGTAGGCCTAATGACAGGGAACGGAGCAACCACTCACGGTTTTGAACCCAACGAACCTTCCCGTAGCTGGATTGGCCGCTAGGAAGTCTGGCATCTTTCGCTTGATGAATTGACTCCCTGGGTTGGCAACCTAGGGGTTTTTCCTAAACATCCCGTCAGGAGGGATGGAAGGATGGAGGAATCGTTTGATCAGAACGAAATTGTGGGTAGATGAGATGAGATGACGCGTCTCAACCAGACAGGTCACTGTTCAGCGCTTACTATGACAGAAAAAAAAAAAATTGCCGGACATCCCCCTCTCCCCAGTAACCCTTCAGTTATTTGTGGGTTGTCTGGGTCTCGCCAGTCCGTCGTTCGGTCGCAATTGAGCCGTGGAGGACAGCCAGGAGGTCATCCAACAGATTCAGGTAATAGTGGACTTACCAAACAAATCCATCTTTTACTCACTGTTCCTACAGACCAAGCTCTTTTTTTCGCCACAAAACCCTCCATAACCCTCCACCCACCACTGACGCATCTAATCCCATGTCAGACAGAAACGCGGTCTCTGTATTATCTCGAAATCCAAGGAGGGTAAGACTTCACGGCTAGATACGCCACTACCGATCGAGAACCCCTCCTACCCCATCCCCCTTCCTCGGCCGGCATCGTTAACAAATACTCATTGGCAGTGTAATTTTACCGGTGTAAACGTTTGTCCTCCGTTCGCTTGACCGACCGGAACAAAGCAGCTTCCACGTAAAGGCACGAAATTCCATTCAATTTGAAACTATGGTGACTATCCTGGGTGTTTTTTTTTTCTCCCTCGTAGCGTCCTCCGTTGGCAAGACCAGATGCAAGACGACGTCTATACGACACGAGGATAACCAGGCATCTCCAACACCGAGGCTTTTTGTACGACTGTCCTCGGACTCCAGGGCTCATCGCCCTCCACAGGCGGTCGTCCCAGACATCACCCATGCCTGGGTATCTAGAATTTTCCTCCAAGGCATCATCCTGGGATGTGCCATTATTTGGAACGGAGCAAATGGACGCGTAAAACCCGTCCTTGCCGGCCACTGAGTAATGACGTCCTCCAGAAATTCACTACCCTATGGAGACTTACTTAGGCGAGTTTTCGTTACTTGGAGGTATCCAAAAAAAGGTACTTAAAGGGAAGACGATTGTAGCTATGGTTTAAGTCGCCAAAACGCCATGGCATCTCCTGAGGGACAGAGTGGCCCGAAACATTACTGTGGCCCAATTAACCCGTGGGTCATCCTTGTTTCGTACCACCTTCTGTTGCTTAACCACGATACAGACGAAACTATGCATTGCAAGACGCCGTAGGTAGTACCTACATGCGAACCAAGCAAAATGTGGGACCGTGATCCCACGTTCGTTTAGCTGTTATTCACTATTGACAGGACACGCCTCCGCCCCAACCGTCGTCTGCGAATCAGTACGCGGGGTGTCCTTCCGTTCCTTGTGGATACCCAAACTCCAACGGCACGATCACGACATGCCGCGTGCCCGTTAATTGCGCCAGCGCTCCAGAACATTTTCGCATCACGCATGACGTTCGGGATGTGAATCGGTCTGCCCATATCACCTGCGCTTGGATAGGGTGCAACCTGTCGGTTTTGAGGAACAACTTGATCCGCCATATCAGAGGAGTCCATTTGGGTCACGGCAGGAATACCGGTCACTAGGCGTTATCAAGGGTGGGAAATAATGCTGATCGTCGCTTGCGACACACGCCTGTGAAAAGGTCTCGGTCGACCATGAGAAAAGGTTGGAAACGGTGGAGGTTCGCATGTCCTTGTTTTTGATATGTTCTTCATGTAATGTTTGTCACTTGTGTTTGTTTTTTGCGTTGTCATGTGTCTATCCGCCTGTAGTATAGATATGCTAGTCCGTCTGCTGATAATATAGTCTCACCTACTTGAGTAACACGACTGATTCCGACAAGGTATGGACATACACATATAGTAAAATATGCCGTTATACATATGTATGAAATAAAACGCTCACGGGCACCAAGCTTCGGGGCATCAACCTCTTTACAAGTTCTACGACAAAACTTTTAACTTGTGGTCTGCAGAGAGTGCGTGAGTTGCAGACTGGAGGTATAGTTGACGGCGACTAGTCTAGTTCTGTGATCTGCTAGCCTTCAATCGTAAACGTGTTTTACAGTACAATTGATCTGCGGGATCTGCACAGTACTTTTTAAGTATGACTTTATCCGTTGAACTGTTAGACCGTGCCTGTATAGCTATTGTCGATAATGTTCGCTCTTCGAAACTTCGCCTTTCTTCAAACCTAGTACTGGAACCCTCTGTTCAAGACTCCATATGGTGTCATGGGTATCAGTCCTCTTTGTGCCCATTGAAGGCAGATTTTGTTGTGCGATATCAAAAGGGCTCGATTGTGCTGTCCGAGTTGTTCTTGCAATTGGGTTTCACTGTCAGCTGGCGGCTTTCCAGAACGTTTCATCTTCCGAACTTTGCGGAGCTATTCAGAGCTGCTTGTCGCTTGGCGGACCACGTTCGAGATTTGGAGAGCGAAACGTCGGACCAGGTCGGACCCTCTAAATTTTCAACACAGCCCCTTGCTTGGCCTGCATCATATATTTTGCAAGCGAAGAGTCTATACACACGATGTAGTTCTCATTCTAGGAGAGATTTTTCATGCTATAAGCATGCATGGAGATCCAGGGTTAAACGTTGACTCACGAAAGCCCAACAACGGACGCGTCGTAGATTCGAGTCACCCTTCCCAAGAACCTGGCGATCCCAACATCGACTTTCTGGACTCGATCCTCTACACAAGCAGTCGGACAGACGACTAATTCGTTTATTGAAAAAGTACGTGCTTTGGAAATGATCTGCTTCCTCCGATGGCACAAAGGACCTGCGACGAATTCGCCCTGGCTTCATGTGAACATCGGTAAGATCTATTTCAGCTGGAATGGCCATTTTTTCCTTGAACTGCAACGCCTATGCGGACGAGACTATGCAACGGACAAAAAATGGGGCTCGCCCAAACCACCTTCAGCAGTGACCGATTCAGGTAAGGTTGCGTTTGGGTATGTATTTGTCGATTGATCGTTGACCCCAAATAAAATGAAGATCGAATATCTGTATTGCGCCAGTACTTTCGTGCAACCGGTGATTCGATGAAGGGCTAAATCAAAGAGGCGAGAACTGTGACAAAGGGAAAGTCCAACGAGACTGCCCTTCGGCAGCCATTCGCCTTTCTGTTACCTTGTATGGCTAACTGGTTCGCCGCCACTGCTACAGGGCTACCACACTAAGGAGATGAGGTTTTCCTCGCTTTTTTCAGTTGCGTACTGTGGCTGCGGGAGCTCATCGCCACGATTCGATGCCAGGCGAACCATTCTCGCTGCAAGCATCTAATGTAGGCTTTATGAGGGGAAGGGGAAACCACTCACGGTTTTTGAACCCGACGATCCTCCCAGTTATTGGTTTAGGCGCTAGGAAGCCTGACCTTTTTTCGCCTAGTAAATTGACTCCCTGAGTCGGCAACCTAGGGGTTTTTCGTAAACCTCCTTCCAGGAGGGGGGAATCGCTTGATTAGTATGAATGTGTGGGTGGATGAGATGAGGTGTCTAATCAGACAGATCACTGTTCAGCACTTGCTGTGACAGAGACAAACATCCTAGACATACCTGGGATCCTCTTCTCAGTAACCCTTCAGCTATCTGTGGGTCGTCTGGGTTTCATCAGTTCGTCATTCGGTCGCAATTGAGCCGTGGAGGACGACCGGAAGGTCGTCTAACAACTTGAGGTAATAGTAAGCTTTCCAAGACAAAGTCGGCGGTTGCAGCGCTAAGTCAAATTTCATGTTTTAGCCACTGCTCTTACGGACCAAGCTCTTTTTTTTTACTATACAACTCTCCACAACCCTCTGCCCACCACTGACCCACCCAACCCCTTTGTCACACAAGGAGAGCAAGACTTCAGATCAGATATGCCATTATCTATCGAGAACCTCCCATCCAACTTGCCCCCTCCTTGGCTGGCATCCCTTAGCGATATCCGCTGACGCTGCAATTTACCAGTGACTAACCGGACCAAGCAACCTCCACGCAGAGGCACGACATCCTATTCAATCATTGGCCGAAACTATAGGGCTATCCTGAGTTGTTTTCACCCTCGTGGCAGCCCTGTTGGCAAGACCAGATGCAAGGCAACATCCGTACGACATGAAGATAACTAGGCGTCCCCGACACGAGGCTTTTAGCACAAGTATCCTTGGACTCCAGGTACATTGCCCTCCGCACGGTGATGTCACACAGACATCACGAATGCTTGGGAATATCTAGAAATTCCCTCCAAATACTCGTCTTTGGATGCTCATTGATTGGGAGGGAGCAATCGTGCGCGTAGCACCCGTCTCTGCCCGCCACTAAATCACGTTGTCCTCCAGCAATTTGCTACCCAATGAAGCTTTATGTAGCCGGCTTTTGGATGGTTGGAGACATCCCGTAAACATACTTAAGAAAGAGAGTGGCTATGGGCTAATCGCTACAAGACATGGCAACATCTAACGGGAACGGTACCCCGGATCACTACAATGGCCCCATCAACCCGTACGTTATCCCTATTCGTACCACTTCCCCTTGCTTAACCACAGTCCAGACTTAACTACGCCCTGCGCGGCGCTGTGGGTACTACCTACTCACAAGCCAATGCCAATCAAATTGTTCGCCTGTGATCTGATTCCCCTCGATTAACCGTTACTCACTATTGACAGCGCACGCACTCAAGCCGGTACGAGGAATGCCCTTCCGTTCCTTGTGGTTGCCGAAACTCGAGCGACATGAGGTGTAACGTGCTTGTCAATTGCGGCAGCGCTCCAGGTCATTTCCGCTCGCATGGCATTCGAGACACAAATCGGAATGCCTGCATCCCCTGCCCTTGGTGCGGCGAGGAGATTGTGAGAAATAACGCGATCCGCCATATCAGAGAGACTCATTTGGGGCATGTCCGTCGCTAGGCGTCGTCGGGGTCGATAATAATATTCGGCACTCGCGACACGGCCGTTTGAAAAAGTCGGAAAAACGGATATCTGCATGTTCTTACATTCGATACTCCCTTCGTGCTATGTTTTTCAACTTGTCTTCTTCGTTCTCGCTATCCACTTGTGCTATCGACAGACTAGCCTGTCTTCTGATGTTTCTCACCAACTTGAGTGGCTGATACTGACAAGGTATGTACATATACAGCAAGATAAACAACTGCGAAAAATAAAATATTCGCGGTCACCAAGCATCGAGGCACCAGCTTCTTCACGAATTCTACGACAAAACTAGTCTAGTCGCCGTCATACTGACAGCAAGGATCTTAAATCTCGCAACTTGACCGCAAAGATTCCAGGGCTCTCTCTTCGCATGCATCAGCTCAATTCACTCACACGAGATAAGCCCGTTGACGTTTGAAACGTCTCAGGATGCACGCTCGGAGACCGTATGTTTACTTACCATTCCACAGCAAGTCAGCAACCAGCTACAGTGGCCACACCTAGCAAATTAGCAACCTGCGACCCTTCCTGCTGCGTCTATTTGCACCCGAGCGGACACTGCGTATGCCAAAGGTGGCTCTCAAAAAGCTTCCATTGCGTCCGCCCAACCGAATCGCGGAGGAATTTGTCGTCTGGGTGTTTTCGAGCCCAACGAAGCCAGAGCGAAGGCCCAGTGGTCTATTGTCACGATCAAGTTGGTTATCGGCCCGATCAGCTGAAAACTGGAACCTTCAGGTGATGTTTGCCTTCACAGTTATTTCATAATCATTTTCGAGGATATCAAAGACTTGCCAAACACTAAACGGTCTACTGCAGGTAGTAAGGAAGTGCCCGAGGTGGAAGGCATCAGGTAGGGTCTCTCAGAGGTGATATAGAGGGGGAACCCTTCCATCGCCAGGGAAACATGTATATTGATAACACTACTGGTGTAAGCACAATGCTGGCTTACTGAACCCAGATAAGCAACTAGGTACCGCTGGATATGCTGAATAGCTGATCTTCCCTTTATGGTGCAACAATCAAGTGCGGCAATCTGGCCCTCTTATATGGAGAGCTTAGCACCATGCGTTGGGTATTGGCGGATTACGAACAATAAGTCGCTGATTTTCTAATCCTAGGGTGGCCTTCATTTGCTTGGGCGGTACTGCCTGTGCATGCAAGGAACATGAGTTACCTCCATGTTTCCCGTAAGACGATGTGCCGTGTTCTAACCTTCAGATCCTGTGGTTCTACGCTCGGAACGATATGATTTTCTTTTCACCTGCAGCCACAGATAATGCGAGTTACTAGATATGGGGCGGCTGAAAGACTACACTGATATCGAACGACCCTGAACGTGTGCTTGCAGATCCACGATGTAACTACGACCCTTGCTTGGAAGCCAACTTGGTACCCTCCCTATCTACCCAACGGAGCGAAACCACAAACAACTATTGCCCTTCAGGTGAAAGATGACGCAGAGATCACCCGCGATCATTGATCGTGGACCATTGACTTGTTCGGGATGATATTAAAGTTGGCGATGAACTCATAGAGACGGTTTTTGCAAGTTATTGATTTTCCATGATCTTCCATGTATGGTACACTGCTCAATGGGGTCCTTTTCTGAACTTACCTGTCTCTGGGCACTGTGACCAATGCGGTCTCACATGTTGCACCATGCACATATGAACTTTCCCTGTTGCATTCGGATGTATAGCCCCTGAACTGCCTGTAGCCGTATTTATCGGTTATTGTTAAGATAATGAGGCACGGGTCTCCATTGGGGCGTCAATATCGATCTCAATAAATGGACATCCGCGGAACCCCTGGTCAGTACGAGCAACGGGTCTCGGTACGGTGGCTGTCCAGGCTGTCCCGGTGCCTTGTCATGGGACCGGGGTCGCGACAGAAATAGACGAGCCTACCATAGTGACGGGTCCGGCCAGGGGAATTACCGTACCCGTTTGATCATTTGACTACCAGCCGGTGCAGTGGCGGATCTCCCACGATCCTGGGGTGACCTTCCCCCCAAGCGGGGTATCGCTTTTTACTGAAAGGCGAGAGTACTTTGTGAGATGCTGAAGGTGATGTGGATAGGTAGTTTTGGAGCTTTAAGTAGCTACGCGGGGGAGTGCGGGGCGCAGACTATAGTGATGTAGGTTGTGACGTCACGTTGCCTCGTGTTGTTGCACGTGTGCGCCCTGGCATGCCAGTACATAAACCGGTACCCCCGCAAACAATAACTACCACACACCTCTCTCTACTCCCCATCTGTCAATTGTCGTATCCGTTCTCAGTTGCCGAATCGCTCCCGACATGGCAGGACGTTGGTCGGACGGTATCGTCCTCAAGGTGCTTTTCATACCGCTCACCTCACCTCATTATTCACTGACTGCTGGTTGTCATCAAGATCATTAACATCATCGTTTATTTCCTCTTCTTGGGCTCAAACATCTACACCGTCGCCGCTCCTCACGACATCTACTATTCATCCAAAGATACATATGTCACACCTGCACCGTGGGCATTCTTGATTTGGTGCGTACTCTCATTGCGATCTTGGTGTTCGGCAGCGCTGGTCACTGAACACGCGTCTACAGGACCCTTATTCACCTTTTGTTACTCGGTACCATAGTTTACCAGTTTACCGAAGAAGGCAAAAGGGTCGTTATCGACGGCATTTCCTGGCGCTTTGCTCTGCTTGGAGTCCTCAATGCTGTTTACGTCAATCTTTGGGCGACGCACCACTATATCGTGTCCTTCATCTTCGCCTTGTTGGTCAGCAGTAGCGTTACGGTGAGTCACCGGTTCCATTCCCCTTTCATTTGCGATGTACCCGGGTGTGGGTAACATGTCTGACGCTGTGTTACTGGGTTCGATAGCACATCTATTACATTGTGAAGAAGTACCACTATCCGTGCACCACTGGCGATGAGATCTTCGTGCACTTGCCCTTCTCGCTATACCATGGGTGGACCACCGTGCTTGTTATCCTCTCCGCTTTCCAAGCATTTGGTGTTGATGCCCGCCTTCACCCCGCTGGAGTCTGGACCAAGGTCTTCGCCTTCCTTGCCTTGTAAGTCGTCCTATTCCTATTGGCTGTGCCTTGTGCCAAATGTGCTGTTCCTCCGCAGCTTCTTCCTGGAAGGCACTGCTGCTGCGTATGCCTTCGGTACTGTAGAAGGCGATCTCCCTGCCTCGATTGCTATTACGTGGTCACTTTACGCCATCTTTGCCCATCAGCACGAACCTTTCGTGCACTGGAGCGCCCTTGCATTTGCAATCCTTAGCACATTGTGTGTGATCAAGGGCGTCTACGGTCTATCCGTCAGGTACAGGCGTGGAGGCATTATTTTGGAAGATGAGGAGCGTGCGCCCTTAGTCGGCGGTCGATGAGCGAATCCGTACCGATTTGAACGAATGCGGAGATGAAACGACACGCCCTTACGTAACCTTTCCCCCCGCCCATTGAACTGCAAACTTTATATTCCGTTGTTCGTGATGGCCCCGCTCATGTACGGTTGTATAGTTCTCGTTTCTTGTTCCGAGCGTTGTAAGTATATGTATGTACTACGAGTCCTCTTGACGACTTTGACGAACGTTGTAATATACAGTGAGGTGCCCATTGATTGAACGTGTGCTCGAACAGAGCAGTATTTAGGGGCTCCCTTTGTCCCCTGTTTCCTCGGTGATATTAGGTAATGACAATACGCATGTTTAGTCGGGTTTATGTAAGACCAAGACACCCAACACAACACCAAAGGACTCCAATCGACTTGCTGCATCTCCACTCCAAGCGGTTTGAGACTGGAACACACGGCAGTTGGTCATCATCATGGAAACTGTTCGAAAAAGATCATGATTTGGCAGAAACATGGTCGATGTGCATCAGAAGTGGGAATAAGTGTACATTTTTGGCAGTGTTCTAGAACATTCTGTGGCCCACATGTGGACAAGTGCACTTCATGCCCTGCTGCAAATTCAAGTGGCCACCTCAAACGAGTGGTGGTACATCTGAGAACATGCAGCGACCGACCACGGAATGCAGGGAGGGAGCGCGAAGAGGAACGGGCGGATCAAGCGATGGACGTTGATGGTGGGGGCAGGTAAGAGAGTTGTGGCAGCGGAGTTTGTGATCGTAATCATGGGCGGAGTTTGAATTCGAAAGGTATATAAAGCCTGCCACGACAGTTTCCCTCCCTCAATTTCCTCCCGCGCCGTGTTTTTCCCACGCACTGATTTTATTTTATTTTTGAAAAATGTCCTTTGCGCTGCCCGCCCGTCAAGTCACCTTTGGGAGGCCCGCTGTCCCCTACCAACCACAACAAGCTCAAGCACAGACCACCACACATGGTTTGGCACTGCCGGGTTCCGCGCCCTCCGCACCAGTGTCGGTACCTGCCCCAGTCGTAGCCTCAGCCCCTCTCCCACCACCTCAGTCTCAGCCAAATGCGACTACCACGACTAGCAACGGCACCACAACTGCTACCGTTGCCGGCCCATCAACACAACCTACGCCTCCTGTACCATCGACGCCGGCGCCGTTGACCCTCGAGCAGCAGCATATCACTGCCGTCGAGGGTATCGTACCAACGCTCCAGAACATCGTCGCGACGGTGAACCTGGATTGCAAACTGGACCTAAAAACGATCGCATTGCACGCTAGGAATGCAGAGTACAACCCAAAGGTTCGTATCACCCGAGTTACCGTTCCCTTGTGCATGCCAATGCACCTCTGCACGGTTCTAGCGTTTTGCAGCTGTAATCATGCGCATTCGTGACCCAAAGACAACCGCCCTTATTTTCGCGTCGGGCAAGATGGTCGTCACGGGCGCGAAGAGCGAGGATGATTCGAGGCTTGCGTCGCGCAAATACGCGCGAATCGTGCAGAAGCTTGGCTTCGACGCAAAATTTGCAGAGTTCAAGATCCAGAATATCGTGGGGAGCTGTGATGTCAAGTTCCCCATACGTCTGGAGGGTCTTGCGTATAGCCACGGACAGTTTAGTAGTTATGAGCCTGAGGTAAGCAAGGCATGCCTTGCCGAGTTGTTGAGCGCGTTGATTGATACGGGACAGCTGTTCCCTGGTCTTATTTATCGCATGCTAAAGCCGAAGGTCGTACTCTTGATCTTCGTCTCCGGTAAGATAGTCCTGACGGGGGCGAAGGTAAGATTTTTTTGATCTGCCCGTGTGTCGTCACGACGCGTGCGTTGGTGGAAGGCCGTGAACCTCCGCTGACCTGCTTGCCGTTGAATAGGTTCGAGAGGAAATCTATACCGCGTTCAATACGATATACACCGTGCTATGCGAGTTCCGGAAACCATGACGCTCGTTCGTGTTACACCGATGGACTATAAAGTAGTTTATATATCCCGCACATAAATAGCATTCAATACAGGAGACGGGCTGTAGAATCACCTACGATACATGTGTTCTATTAGTACAGGGAGCAAATACAGATTTTTGCTGTCACTTCACGTTTTGATCGTGTTTTCTGACTCGGCCGTAATGTGACTCGGATCGATTTAGGAACGACGCCCACAAAAGATCATCCGTGCACGATTACACTAGAGATCGACAATGTCGGCCGCTGTAGACGAACTCGCCACCAAGTTGAGCGTCTTTCCGTCAGTTCCCATCTAATCAAAGCTATCTGTAACTCCGTCTTAGAAAATGTCCAGGAACGACTCCGCAGCTGACGATGCAAGCCCCTCAGTCGTCAAACCCGCAGATGCTAGCCAAGCACACGAACAGGTCGTCACTCCGTGGGACGTCCAGGGATCCGTGTCGTCGGACGGAAGACAGCTTGCGATTGACTATGACAAGTTGATCGCTCAGTTTGGAACGCGACGTATAGACCCAGAGCTTCTCTCTCGGTTCGAGAAACTAACGGGTCACAAACCACACCCCCTGCTCCGACGAGGAATGTTCTTCTCACATCGGTGAGCGTTCTCTTGTGTAATCATGCAATGAATAGAGGCGAGCGTATTGATACCTGTCATGCGATCAGAGAGTTCGACAAGATCTTGGATAGATATGAGCAAGGAAAACCATTCTTCCTGTACACCGGGCGAGGACCGAGCAGTGACAGCATGCACATCGGGCATATGATTCCTTTCGTTTTCACAAAGTAAGTCCCTGCCTTGCACGTCGTGGGTCATCATCGTAGACGACGTTAGATGGCTGCAGGATGTCCTCAACGTCCCCCTCGTCATCCAACTCACAGGTCCGTCTGTCGCTCTTAGCCTTCACGTAGCTCGTTATTGAACCCTCCATCAGACGATGAGAAGTTCCTCTTCAAGCATGAATTGAAGGCGGAACAAACGCGCGAGTTTTCGTACAGCAACGCGAGGGACATTATCGCCGTCGGTTTTGATCTCAAGAAAACGTTTATATTCAGTGACTTCGACTATGTTGGCGGCGCCTTCTACCGCAACGTCGTCAAAATATCGCGGCAGATATCCTTTAACCAGGCCAAGGCCACTTTCGGCTTCAATGACTCGTTAGTAAACGTGCAGTTCTTCTCCGTTGAACCATCTCTGATTAATGTTTGTCTCAGGGACAACATTGGAAAGATTCACTTTTGTTCCGTTCAAGCAGCTCCGTCATTTTCCAACTCATTCCCCAACATTTTTGGCGACACTTCGAACATTCCCTGTCTTATTCCTTGTGCGATAGACCAAGACCCATACTTCCGTCTGACCCGTGACGTTGCTGTAAAACTCAAGTATCCCAAGCCAGCACTCATACACTCTCGATTTTTCCCCGCGCTACAAGGGCCGCAGACAAAGATGAGCGCATCGGACGCTACCTCAAGTATCTTCATGAATGATACCCCTAATCAGATCAAGAATAAAATTAACAGGCATGGTTTCTCTGGAGGCCGGGAGACAGAAGAGGAGCATAGAAAATATGGTGGGGACACAGAAGTGGACGTTGCTTACCAATACCTAAGCTTCTTCTTGGACGACGATGAAGAGCTTGCAAGAATCGGAGAGGTGACTATTAGAATGGCGCTCGATCACAGCCACTACCAGAACTGACGACAATAAACAGGATTACCGCACCGGACGTCTCCTTACTGGACAGCTGAAGGCTAGGTGCATCCAGGTGTTGCAAGATTTCGTCAAGGATTTCCAAGCGGTGTGTCTGTCGTAGCTATACCTTTCTTCATGTCTGAGACTATGCGGTGCAGAGAAAAGCAAAGGTAACCGATGCGGATGTGCATGCGTTCATGGACCTTACTCGCAAGATCGAGCCGACGTTTGGCAAGTAGTCGTGAGACTGGACTGCATACGAGCTATCAATGTACAACAATAAAGACATAAGTTCAATTGCAGTAGGCATGAAAATAACGTCTAGTACGTGAGCGATGGGGCGTGTGTATGCGTGTGATGCATGCAGACGATGTACGTATAAATACAAATTCTGTCTGTCCTTGCTCCACGGTCTACATGGCGGCAAAATAAGGGGACAAATGGGTCTAGATCCTTTTTAGACACGGGAACGTACGCGGACGTGCCAGACCCTCTTAAGCCACCCGTTGGTGGCCCTGAGGGCATGCAGCATAGGGGGCGTGCCATTCATTTCCGCCTTAACGTTAGTCAAATCGCTGGTGTCTTCGTCCTTGTTCCAATGGAACGGCAGTATTTTGGATTTGTCGTATTGCCAGGAGTCAATGGCTTCCAAAGCTGCCTTGCCCCAGTCAAAGGTTTCGTGTTCTTTGTGATCAGCGGGACCGTCGACGAAGATAACGAGATGTTCGTTGCGCGGGTTTATAAAACCTTCTTGGATGCCGTTCTTGATGAGTTCGCGGAGAGGATTGTAATATGAAAGGACGTTGAGAAGCACGACGGCTATCTCATAAACGACCAGAAAAGGAAACGCGGTGAGGTCAGAGCGAGGATTATTAGGGCGAAAGCCTCACGTTTATTGTGGATATTGAGTTGGTTCCATGTTATCACCTCTAGGATCTGGTGGTTTCAATTACGTCGTCAGCATGCCGATATAATTAGAAGTGAACGCAGCGCGGTACCTCTTCGAAAGTTCCGAAGCCGCCTGGTAGGCCTACGAAGGCCCCTACCCTTTTGGCCATTTCAACTTTGCGTTCATGCATGGAGTTTACAACGATCTGGTGATCGGAAAAGTGGGTTTAGTCCGAAATACCAGTGATTGCACGGTGGAGCTCACAGTCTCTATCTGATGATGGCCGTGTCAGCATGCAAACCACCGACTGCAGAACGCGACAAAAGCATACCTCTTGGCGTTGCGTGTCATCTAAGACTTCAGAGACAGTGTGGGCTGTTGCACGGCCATTTCCCTTGTCCTTCTCGCCTCCAGCGGCGAAAATAGCATACGGGATAATGCCCGTGACCTTGCCTTCGGACTTGGACACGGCACCGGAGACGACTCCCATAAGACCGCTGTTACCACCACCATAAATGAGAGGACGATCTTCGATTGAAAGAGCATATCCGAGTGCTGTACGACGAGAAGAACAAAGAATATATGACGCGACAAAAAAATAAAGATGTGAGTAAAGAGTAGCAACAAAGACGACTGGAAGAGTGCGGGGTGGACCACGGGGGCGTGGTCTATCGGTAAGCAGACTTACACAGAGCAGCTGCCTGGAAAGCTTTCTGCTTCCCCAGGGAGGCAGCACAGTATACAGCTACGGCGCGAGAAGGAGAGCGTGCCACCATGGCTAACTGCTCTGAGTTGTACTGTGACCGGGCGGGGGAAGAATGGGAAGGAATTGTAGACATAAAAGAGTGGGTTGCAGTGCTATTTAAGCGTAAACGAAACGTGTCCGCGTTCAGGATACCATTAGTAGCGGTATTTGGCGAGAGGTGGTTGGTCCAACGAGGCTGTTGCTGTAATTGTGTAAGCCGACCCTATTTCAGCGCATTCGAGACAACAAGTCAAATAGTCACCAGCAGATTCCAGGCGCGGGGCATCAATCTACAGTAGTTGTGGGCGAAGGACATGTTATCTGGATTGTGGTAAACGGTCTCCCCTAAGTACACCCCAGGGAATTCAACGGCGTCGAGAACGCCGCTGCCGCTCCCCCAATGAATCACTCTACTCCGCACACATTGTATGAGTATGGCTGCCTGCTGCCTCATCCTTGAGTCATGACCCTGGCGGGAGCCGCACTGCAATGCAAAACAAACTGAACGTGTGCTGGCCACGCGCGGTATGTCACGTCAGGATCAGGTCAGGATCGTGTGGAATCTTTCGTTGTATGAAAGAGGCAAACTTCCTCGGTTGCAATAGGCACTGAGCTGATCCCCCACTTCGCTGGCGAGCTGGAACGGGTGGTTTTAGAAGATTTAGTATGTATTACTCGTGACGTTTAAGATCAACAGAAAAATCAGTTTCTTGGGCCAATACTTTTCTCCCGCATAAAACCCCCAGGTCACGTCATGCTCGAGTCTTTCAAATCCAGCCTTCTTCCCCCACTTTTCTTCCCCTGAAATTACATTCGATGAAGAGTGGGACGATGCCAGCAGGGTCGTCGTAGAAATCCATTAGCGCCCATCCTCTTATCCGCGGACGTGCGTCAGTATTACGTGCCAACCCGGAAGCAGTACCGGTCAGCCTTTCCAGCAACCACTTCCCCACCCGCGAATTCACCCCTTCGAAACCCAGTTTTAGGTTGGGCCACCCCAGGCCCAGAGCGATCAACGGTGGTAAGGCGAACGGTAAAGAAGATGCCGAAAGAAAAGAAATAGAGAGGACAGGACTTGGAAAGTCTTCTGGCGCAACCAAGATTTCAGTGCAAGTCTCCACTTTCTCAGGTATCGACAGAAACGATGGTATCGCGTACCTGAATTTCAGTAATGAATCCATAAAGACCGTAGTGAATTTTTTCGCTTAATCACATACCAATCCTGAGTTCTCACGATGGAGCCCTTGCAATCCCACGAGAAGCCCAGTCGCGCACTATCGGGCCAAATGGGTGGGTGGATTCCAACCGCACCGTGTTTCCACCCATCACCTCCGAAGCGACTAAACATGACTGCTTTGCCCCTGACCTCGCCCAAGTTTGGTATACGATCTTCTAAATACCACATGTCTAGACCACCGGGTGATTTCATGATTTCCTCGCGTACGAGGTGAGGAAAGCGACGTGTGTCGTCATCTTCTTGCTTGAGGGAAACAACAACAGTCTCACTGCAGGTTGATGGAGCAGTGAGGAATGCGTGTAATTGATGTAAAATGTCCGAAAATGGAGTGTGCTGGGAAACAATGCCGTGAAACGAAATAAGTTGATCGCCATTGATCGCCAGCCGAATGTCAATCACACGTATTCCAGAGTTGAGTTGGGTGTCGAGGGCCGTTGATTGACACTGCGTAATTGGCCACCCGTAGAGAGCCATCGTTTCATGAGTCCCTAAACTCGAAAGGTGAAAGTTTGATCCAGTCGACGTCAGTCAACTTACCTGGGAGCATTAAAGAGGATAGTGAAACAGTGTCTGGAATGCTCTTGAGAAAGCAGGATGGGTCCCGACGGGGTATCAGAGCTAGGTAACAGCGCTTACGGCCAGGCTAGCGGGCGTATGTTAATCAGCACGGCCGGGGATACCATGTCGCCGTTCACGACGGACCCGCCTGTAATATGCCACCCACGGGGAGGAGTCTAATCCCGAAAGAAGTTTCCACGCACACAGCGACCTGGGTATCCTTACCGCTGTGACCTCCGAGAAGGCCTTCTCTTGCTCAGAGACACGGGATATGTGCAGGCGGTGCGCGGCAAGTGTGACGCCCTTGCAAGAAGAGGCAGGCAGGCAGGCCCCAGACCTACGGTTATCCCCATCTGAACTGTAAAAGTACAGCTTTTCGTAGGTTTGGTTATACACAATAAGGATGCATGGCTTAGGAGTCGGGCTCAGCTGAGAGGCTCCATGCAAGAGCAGTGAGCTGCGCGCGCGCAGCTGACACGTGACGTGGAATGTTACGGTCATGTGACGAAGAAGCCCCTTGCCTTGGACCAGAAGGATGTCCCAGTCTCAAGGAATCCAGGCTGAGGAATCGAAACCGGTACTGCCATAATTCACGTCGGGAATTGCTATGACTTCGGAACTCATGTTACTGCATGCAGGTTTTAACAGCCTCCGTCAATGATGTGAAGTACATTGTCGCCCTTCTCAGAGGCATCAACTTTTCTAACGTCAGTCCACTCAACTCCGAGAGATGATTCACGTCCCCAGTAACTCCATGTCGACCTCGTTGTTAAAGCGTGCATCAGTCACCCTTTCGGCTGATTTAGGCATAATTGTTACCGTCGAAGAGGCGCGGACCTTGCTAGGTACGTCTGCCACCGCCTGTTATTCAGTTGTTCCAACGGTCTCTACAGCAACATCATATATATATTCCGACCACTTTGACGAATGGAATTATTCTGCTGATATTTCTGGACCTGCATCATCTCAGCTATCCGACCCACATGTCGACCCTTCAACCGTAACATTCGAGATTCCACTAAATACCCTCATAGAGTGTCTGAACATATATGGCACAGCAAGCATGTCGGCTGCAGGGAGTGGTTCATCTCATAAAAAGTGGCGCCGGGGAGGCGATCGTTCTGACGACGAGCGCTACGAGGAACGCCGTGATGGAAGGCAGCAGGCGAAGGGTGCAAGTAATGCTCCAGCCGGCAACCGCATTGACCAATACTTCGGTGGTGGGAGCGATAAGGGGACGCGTGCACGGCTGTCCTACACAGGTTCCGGACACCCACTGACACTGTGGCTGTGAGCACTGCGTATTTTCCACGAGTGATAGGTTCAGTGGTGATTGTGATCCAGTGCGGAAGACTCGTCTGGTCCGACTACGACGTGCGAGATAGTGACGTTTGACCCGGAACCCTTTGTTGAGCTTCCATTTGACGGTGATCGCACGTTAGTCGTATGTTTAGCTTGCGCAGCTGTCAAATTGACGTTCACTTTTAGTGTATTGAAAATAATTTTCAAGGTGCGATTTCATTTTAGCTGGCGTCTATGTTTGCTGCGCATGTGGTTCTGAGTAAATATTACCCTAGTCTTCCTCGTGGCTTCGGGATGCGCTTGTTGAGCTCGATCCATCATGCGACAAAATCACCTTCGTCAGTAATCCGGTTGCGGAAGTCAGAAAGGCGCATAGAGGGATGCCAGCGAAGCCCCTGTTCCGTATCATAGCGACGGGTAGTTTTGGGACAACAGAGGTATGTTGACAGATTCGACCCATGACCCAGTGGTATAGGCTAATTATGGAGCAGATGGATTATCCTAACGACCGCGAAGTATTAGAAACTTTCGAGTGTTTCCGTCCAATGAGGGCAAGGTATTTATTGGAGTCGTGTGACTTCTGAAGTTCGCAAGATGATGACGTGGTGATCAGCTACAATTTCGCGCATATCGCGCGCACTCTGCGTGCTTTGCAGAGCTCGACTAAGACTTCCCTTCGGATCGATGACGAAGGGTTGTTAAGTTTGCAATTCTTGGTGCCCGTACCCAAGCCACGAGCAGGGCTGTCTGATTCTTTTATCGAGTTTCGAGTACGGTCTCTTCCCTTGCAATCCTGGTTGTCTGTACTTATCCATTATAGTGTCTAGCATTAGATGAAGAAGTAGCTTCCTAACAATAACCCTAATGCTTTGGGGTGACGGTGTGGGTTGTATTTTGTGTCCGTTCACTCTCAATTGCAAGTCATTGGACAACAGGAGTACTGGGTGTCCGGAGAAAATCTACTAGTCTAGGATGAAGGGTGATGTTATCAAAGGAGCCCGTCGAAATATGCTGCCCTACTACTTCGAGGCGAGGCAGTTTGGCTTTGCAAACTTGAACTGGATTTCACCGCCTCGGTTGTCGGTGGGAGGTAGTCAGCAATTACCGAGTCGAACGTGAGCGGTATCGAGGGCACTTGTAGACAGCTTAATGAACACAAAAATCGCAGCTGTAGACATTTGTACCACGTACCCGGTGCCTTTGGTTTCATCCTAGTGGAAAGACCAGACACGATCAATTGACGAATAGCAGCGCCATCGAGGGGCTGCGACCTTGTCAGCCCTGTACTCCGATCAGCTCGATTATCTTACCTTAGGTGGCTCGACCTTTTGCGACACGACAGGTTCTTGCTTGGGTTCCTTGTAGGTACCAGTTGGGCTTGACGCCTTGCCAAGGTGTGCTAAGACATCGCCCTTCGTGAGTTGGCCCCGCACACCAGTCCCCTTGATAACCTCTGCATTCGTGATGTTGTTCTCCACAAGAAGACGTAGGACCGAAGGAAGTAGAGGCTTCGAGTGAGTCGGGTGATGTACTTCCTTCTTTTCTTGCACGGAACCAGGTTGCTGTGATGCTGCGCGCGGGGGCTCAGGTGCAGAAGTGGTTGGAGCGTCCGTATCAGGTGAGGGTTTAGTCCTCTCCTTCGGTGCTTCTAGGTTGGAGATATCGTCTCCTTCCTCTGCAAGAAGGGCAATAATCTTCCCAACGGGGACATTTTTTGCGCCGTTGGGGGTCTAGGTGGTACGAGTCACTGTATGGTCGCTTGAGTTGTCTAAGAATTTCAATACCAAAATCTTGGCCAAAACACCGTCGTCTTGAGCTTCCACGTCAATGGTTGCCTTGTCTGTTTCCTGACCGTCATCACGAATTAGAGTTCAGGCCAAGCTGGCGAGTAGAGCTTGGCGCACGATTTCCAGTAGAACATCACCAGCACTAAATGGATCCCCCTCGTTCTTTTTCCACGAAGCAATCCCACCTTCGGTCATAGTTGGTGACATGGCGGGCATTTCAAGGTTGGTGATGGCAAGACGCGCTCGAGTCTGGTGCAGACCTGTGAAGAAATTAGTGACGTGTGAGATGATGAACTGATATGAGGACACCTTACATCGTCTTCGGAGCAGTGTCCGTGCGCTGTGCATGGCACGTCCGAATGCCCGAGGGTGACCTGCAGCGAGCATCTTTTCAACCCAGGAGTCGGAGTGTCTCGCGTGGGGGTGAAATAATCGACAAGCGGACATCTTCTCAGTCGACCCCCCTCGACCCCCCCACCCATCTACCCACTATTAGTGTGCCCGTCACGATTATTGCAAGGACTTGACCCACCAGGGGTTCTTTGGACAGCGTCACGGCGAGCAAGTCGCTTCACATATTAGAGCGATTCAGGTTGCACGAGGCCTGTACAGGCGACGAGCTGATTTTTGACGTCTCACACACGTTCATTTTCTAGGCCAGCGCGCGGGAGATTCCTATGTCATGGAAACGATAGAATCCTTGGTGCAAGAACGGGTCGTTCAACTTCGGTAAGTGCTTTTACTCATATTCACATTGCACTCATGCGATCACTCCGTTCCAGAGCAGTTGCACAGCACAGAAATGAGCTCCTCCGACAAATGTATTATATGATGCGCCAGCGACACCGAGCAGGGTCTATCATGGATGAGCTTGACCAGGTGGAAGATGATACAGATGGTCTACATGAGTTTATGGACAGGTTCGACTTGGACAAGAAGTGCGTGGGGAGTTCTGTTGCAGCACGGTGCGCTGAAACACGTCCTTTCCCAGTCCTGAATCCGGCATGGTGTCCAATCTCTCGGAAGACGATCTATTCGTTCCTTTCCTGCTTCCATCAGATACGGAACAAGACGCCAGTGGTGATGACGATGTCGATGTCGATTCTCCAATGTCAGAACCTCCAGCATCACCTCGTCCGAGGTCACTCATGGAAGTCGACGAGCCTGAAGTCGAGATGGTGTCTATGACAGTTTCACCTCCACCAACAACTCCTTCTAGCGTGTCTCGTAAGCGACCCATGGAGGAAGAGGAGGAGGAAGAAGCCGAAGAGGAGGAAGAGGAAGAAGAGGAAGAGGAATATCGACCGGACGACCAAAAGATTTCACCTTCCAGGTCACCTTCGCGGCACATCTCACCTCAACCCAATCAATCAGTCCCTCACCGTAGCCCTAGCCAACCATCACTTCATCCCGTTCCGTCGCCCGAACCTCCGACTATTGGTGACACTGAGGGAGAGGAGGTTGTGTTGGTAGAAGCCGTCGAAACGCCGCAAGTTGCCAGAGAACCGTCTCCTCGGTCGATTTCTCCGTCGTCATTCATACTGGATCACAAAGAACCGGAGCCTCAACAACCGATGATCATTCACACTGCTGTCGACGTAGCTACACTACACCCAGCACTTCTTATACCTACGCCGACTTCTCCGGCATTGACGGCCCCAGTGTTCAGTTTTGAGAGTAGCGAGCCTGAACCGACCGCGGATTCCCCTTCCACCCCGGTTCAGGCGGAGATTTCTCGACACCATTTCAGTCCTGATTACACTCTACCTCGGCCCAAATTTCTACCCCCGGATTTTGTTCGGAAAGGTAAGTCATCAAAGCAGCGGAAGCGTGACAAGGATAGGGCAGAGTCGAAGACCAAAGAAGGGTGGACGCCTCTGGGCTTCGTGAAGTGGGGTGCCTCAATTCGCGCAAACCCGATACACAAGAAGGTATCTAGAGCGGCAAAGTGTTTAAGTACACGAGATTGGGGTGTAGGTTGTATTCACTGAGACGTCTGCGCTGTGCAATTCATTATTCGCAGGTGGCCATTACAGAGCTTCGGCTGATGCGCACTCTGGAACGAGTCGAGAGCCTGGAAAACATTGCCAAGTGGTCCTATAGACAACCAAAGAAACAAAGGAACCTTGGAGGCATGACAAAGACTCATTGGGATTACCTTTTGGACGAAATGGTAAGCAGTTTGCATACATTTGTTCTGCCTCGTGGCACGATCATTCTTATGGTATCCTTTTACAGAAATGGATGAGGGTTGATTTCCGCGAGGAGCGTCGGTGGAAGTATGTGCTGGCTTTCAATCTCTCGACTGCGGTTCTCGAATGGCATGCAGCTGGGACTCCCGAGGAAAGGATCAAGCAAGGTGTCTGCATGCATTGGAAACGCCCGCGGACTACAACGGATCACAGGACATCGCAAGATATGGATGTGGATGGTCGACCATCAGAGCGTAGGGAGGATGATTCCACGGTGACGGGCGATGACTCGGATAACGAGGATGATGACGCGGAGGCGGAGCAGCGAGAAGTTGTGGACTCCCTGGAGACGGGGAAAGTCTTGGAGGAGGCCCTCGAAAGTCGAGGGTCAAACAGTTCTGAAGACAGTAGCCTGCGTCAGAGTCCAGTTCTGGAGAGTGTTCGCCCCAAGGTCGAGGATGTGGAGGACCCTGCTGCGCTGCAAGCCGCCAACGCCGGTGGGGTTGCAAGCGAATCAGTGGGTGACGACGGACAGAAGGCTAAGATGGAGGCTGCGGAACCGCAGGGTCTGAAGCCCAGTTCAACGGATCCCCTTCTTGGATCATTACCGGATTCACAACGTGAAACGACGCAGGCATCCAGTTCTGCGAAAGCTGCCACGGTGAAGTCCAACCTATACGTGCCATTGCGGGAACGCATCGCTTATTCGGATGAGAGGAAGTTGTTCATTGAGAACGAAGATCTTGACCTTGTCAAGGATTTCTCTGCTTTGACCACAGATGACCAGGCTTTGGAACCCTCCTGTCCGCCACCTGATCTCTCGGTGATCTTTCCTGACCTTCAGCCTCTCGGTGTCCCAGATGTAGTCAATGCTATGGCTGAGGGAAAAGAAAAGGCAGATAAGAAAACGGAGCGCGAAGGTAGTAAGCGTCTCGATGACTCCGGGTACACGAAGATGGCCCCCATGGGCAAGTTTATGATGTGTAAACCCGTCCTCCTTGGACCACTACATCCTGCGAGGCGATGGAAGAACGGACGCTGGGTCAATCCAGAAGAACCTGCCGTCACGGAAGCTGAAGCGTCTGGCAAGATCTCGGATGATTCTCTGTCTGGTGAGTGGTTGGATTGTGCGAGACTGTGAATGGTGATCACAACTACTACGCAGAGCTCTTTGAATCCGTGAAGCCGCAGTTAATTAGTGTCCTTGCCCCTCAGCCACCCAAGGATACGAAGAAGCGAGCGGAACATGCTTGGAGTCCAGAGGAAGATGCTCTCCTGAAGCGGTTGGCCGATAAATACCCGAATAATTGGTCACTCATCACTGACGTATTCAACTCGTCGAGAGTTGCGATACCCTTCGATAAACGACTGCCCTGGGAGTGCTTCGAACGATGGAATACCAAGTTTGGGGGTATTCGATACGGACCTTCACATCCTGAGGTCAATTCTTCTCCTGCTGCTGCGGCGGCGGAAGGTACCCCTCCGCCTATAGCGTCGTCCACACCTCAGGCGCAAATGACGACGAGAGGCGTTAAGCGTCTTGCCAGCGCGTCGATTTCGCAGAATCAGAATACGGGTTTGATTAGCTCGGATATGTTGAAGCGACGCAGGCACACCTTGATGTATGAAACCATACGAAAGGTTGCGAAGAAGCGGGAGATCACGCAGAAGGCATCTAGTATGATGTCGTATCCCGTACTGAGTGTGTACTAGTTGCTAACTTGCCATTTCTACAGTGAATCAGAGGAAGTCATCCAATATCCACGACACCCACAGTCAATACAACAAGATGCCGAAGATGAGCCCGGCTGAACTCAGCCGCTTGAAGGCTGACAAGGAAACTCGGGAGCATCAGGAGATGTTGATGGCACGACGCAGACATGATGAGATGACTCGGCAGCAGCAACTCAGAATGCAAGTCGCCGCCCAAGGAGTAAGTGAAATGTTTTTTGGTTTAGAAGGGCTTTACGAACTCGCGGATCAGCAGGCCCCTGCCGCTGCCGCTGCGCCCGCCGCGCAACCACAACAGGTCAACGGGGCGACCCGTGCCGTGCAACAGCCTGCACAGGCTGTCCCTCAGATTCGTGCACAACCCGTGCCGCAGGTGAACATATCTCAGCAGCAACGGATGCCTACACCTATGGCGTCGACAGCAGTGGCAGTTGCAGCAGCCCGGATGTCACCCCAAATGCTGCAGGCTCAGGTAGCCCAGGCGCGTGCTCTCGCCGCCGTTGCCGCTCAATCGCAAGCTCAGGCACAGTTGCAAGCACAAGTTCAAGCGCAAGGGCAGGGACAGGTTCCGGCGCAGGTTCCTACGCCGGCACAGAATGCAGGAGTCAACAATGTGCAGAATAGTCTTCCTGTTGGGGCACATCTCTCCCCACCTTACCAGTCGCGCGCGGCAACTTCGTCGCCTGGTGTAGTACCGCAGGGTTCTCCGCCCCATAATGGCATTACACTATCCAATGTCGCCTCTCCGATTTTAACTTCGACTCAGCCGCAAATGCAGATTCAAGCCGGGCAAGTTCCTGGAAATGCGATTCCCCGCCCACCTGGTGGTCTTCCGGCACATTACTTTCCTGTGGTCGCGACAGCGGGGGGTCATTTCACGCAAGAGCAGGTGGACCAGGCAATGCGGCTTATGCAGGTGAGCACCTTTCTTGTGATTCTTGGCGAACGTTGCCAACGATGCGTCTTGTAGCAACAGCGGACGAGTTTAGGTCAACCTCAGCAGGGTAGTCAAGTTTCCCTCCCAGTCGTAGCTACTATCTTTGTATTATGTAATGTGCAGCCATGGCAAATTCCGGTCCGAATGAAGCGGAGTCCGAAAGTGCAGGCGTGGGCATGTCCAGACCAGCGAACTTGGCAATTGACTGCAGCAGGCCAGAGGCTGGTGTTTTGACCGGCCTACGTGGTTTTCTAGTTGGAACTCATTTGCCCGTGCACAAAACGGCGTCGGCTGGTGCAACCCTAAACCGACGTCCGGAGACTCTCCAAAGGTCCTCCGCGATGGATAACCCTCCAAACGCCAACATACATACGATCGTCAAAGCCCAAATCGTCTTCCTCCTCTCGACCCTGACCGAGGACAACTTCGAGAGGAATCAGCTCGAGATTCGTTCGGTACACTCGTATTTTCTTCCCTGGTGCTTTGCAGTTGCGCTCACCGACTTTGTCTTCAGCTGTCCGAGCAACACGGCCTTGACACTTACCTCCATTTCATTCGTCGGCTCATCGTACACTCGCAGGGTCGGCTAGCCTCTGCCGTGTCACCCTCCCCATTCGATCCATCTTCTACCCTAACCTTTCGACTCCTTGTCCAAGAAACTCAGCGCCTCGCTCGTGACCCTTTTCTTGCGGACCGTTTTCGGGAGGCGATAGACAAGGGCGAAGGGGATGCGTTCAGGCATTTCGATCTCTTGCGATTCGTAGATCGTGTCTCCCTCCGTCCCTTGGAGCGCCTAGTCCTAGCCTCGTCGATAGCGTCTACTTCCACGAGAAAGGAGCTCGCTTCGCAGGCCACAACTCTTATCCGCCTCGACTTCGAGAATGCCGTCTTGTCCCTCTGCCAACATCCCTCATTTGACCACGCCGATCTCTCTCCTCAGCAGGTCGCTAAACTCATGTCCAATCTGTTGACCGATCCTACCTCGGAAATTCCTGTGTTGGATGCTAACCAGCGACAGGCGCTTATAGCGGCGGCGCAAGCAAAGTATGGTCCGGAGATTGTGGCTCCTATCTTACAACGCTTGTTCCCCAACTTGAGGTAGGCATGGGATTCGTACTGTACTGCCTTTCAGTGCTTATGGTTCCTTTTTCCCCCCAGTTTACCGCCTGGGACATCTCTCGTCCAAACTCTGATCCAACTTGGACCCGACATCACCAGTGACTGCAGATACTGTCCGCGCCCTTCTCGTCCGGTTTGGGGTATCGGATGCGAATCCCCCTCGCGACAACCAGGTCGTGGAGATTATATCCAGTTTGGCGCGTTTGGCTGCGGAGGGTGCCGCGCTGTGTGATGTTGGTGCGCTAGTTAGGGCGCTGGGCAGCTTCGTAAGTCCCCCTTCCTTCGTCGAGACATGGTTTCTGGAATTGCTCACATTGTGTCCAGCATGTCAACATCACCTGGCCTAACGTCATTAAAGTCTTCGACCTGCCAGATCGCCTTGGAGTCGACACTGCCACATTGAAGTTGCTTATTGCCATCTTGCTGAACTGTCCCCGTGATGTAGAGCCTCACGCGGTGGTCGGGTTCTGGGGCACATGGAAAAACTCGCTGTATCAGTTGAAGTTGCTCGACGCATTGCTATCTCTCCCTGCCGACACGTTCAACTTTGTGACCCTTCCTGGCCGGCGAATAGTTACCGTGGATGACGTGGCCACAGCAAGTCCTACCATCAAGTCCCTTGCAGCCAATGTCCAGGGGCATACCTGGAATTCCTTGGACTTATTCGAGGTTCTCGTGCGACTCGCTGACTCCGATAACCCTGACATCCGTACACAAGTGCGAGAAATGCTCGATAAAGCTTTGAAAATTAGTGCAGAACTGGTTCATATGGGTTTGTTACAGGTGCCGGTAAGTTGTTGGTCGTTCTTTGCAGTAGAGCTTGTGGTGAGACGATCTCCAGGACTCAAATTGGAACGACATCCGACTCGAGTACTCTCGCAAGCTGTTGGCTATGTTCCTGGCTGGTCACCCCAACCACCAACTGGTTTTCATGCGCCTGTGGCAGATTGAACCAAGTTACCTTACGGACGCCTTCCGTGACTTTTATGAGGAAAGCCCGCTCAACATCACGAGGATTCTGGATGTCGCCCAAGATTTGAAGGTGAGGAACTTTATCGATGGCGCTTGACAGCCCGCTAAACCCACAGTAGATACTGGAAAATCTGTTGGAAGTGCGTCCGTTTACGTTCGCTCTGGATGTTGCTGCGCTTGCCTCTCGTCGAGAATATTTGAACTTGGACAAGTGGCTTGCGGATAATGTTGCGAGCCATGGTTCGGAGTTCCTTCACTCCATGATTGTTTTCTTGGAGGTCAAAATGGAGAGTGAGAAGGTGTCACGGGTCTCAGACCCCCCTGTGGACAGCCGTACGATGTCGTTGAGCCCTCAGACGGTAGCCATCTTCCTGCGCATCCTTCGCAATAAGTAGGTGAAACAGCAGACACAACCCATCCCATTGTTGACTTTCCTTCTTAGCTCTGCAAAAATGCCTCGAGAGGATCTCGATTATTGCTTAGAAGTCCGAAACTCCTGTTTGCAAATCCACCCTCGCCTCATGAACCTTGCGCCTGGAGTAGATGCTGAACCAGGATTCACAGTCATCAGCTACAGCGCGGAAATTGAGTCTGAAGTTGACGCTATTTATAAACAAATGTATGATGAACAAACGACCATTGACGACGTTATTGCTTTACTTCAGCGAAGCAAAGCCTCAGCCGACCCTCGTGACCACGAGATCTTCTCATGCATGCTCCATTTCCTTTTTGACGAGTACAGGTTTTTCCAGTCTTACTACCCTCCGCGCGAACTCGCCATGACTGCCTATATGTTTGGCTCCATCATCTATCACGATTTGGTCGATTTCATTCCTTTAGGCATTGCCATCCGTTACGTCGTCGATGCCCTCACTTGTCCCCCGGAGACCAACCTCTTCAAGTTTGGTCTCCAAGCCCTTGCACGGTTTGAAAGCCGACTCGCCGAGTGGCAGCCCCTTTGCCAGGCATTACTTCGGATTCCTCATCTCATGGAGGCTCGCCCTGACCTGACTTCCACGATTCATCGCGCCCTTGCAGCAGGAACGGACGGCTCCCGGACTACGGCTGATATGCGAGGGCTGTCAGCTGGCCTCGCAGCTGAACCTGTTCCTGTGTTTAATGCCATCCAACCGGACAAACTGGAGGGTGAGATGGCGAAGCCTTCTGAAGAGGTGTCAGACAAAATTCTGTTTATCGTCAATAATTTGGCACCGAGCAATTTTGAGGCAAAAGTCACCGAAATGAAAGGCCACTTCGAGGACGATTTCGCGTGGTGGTTTGCCAATTACTTGGTTGATCAGCGAATCAGCGCAGAGCCCAATAACCATCAACTCTATCTCCGCTTCCTCGATGCTCTTGACAGGCAGAAGTTGTCCAAGCTTATCCTTCACGAGACGTTGGTCAAGTCTGCCGCGGTCCTTAATAGCGAAAAGACGATGCAGGTCACTTCTGAGCGTCTTATCCTTAAGAATTTGGGGTCTTGGCTGGGGAGTATCACACTCGCTCGTGGCAAACCGATTCGTCATAAAAACATCTCCTTCAAAGACCTTCTTCTCGAAGGTTATGAGAGCGGCCGCCTCATTGTTGCCATTCCGTTTGTTTGCAAGACTTTGGAACCGTGTTCAAAATCCAAAGTCTTCAAGCCTCCAAGCCCATGGCTCATGGCAATCATCAGCTTGCTTGCAGAGCTCTATCACTTCGCCGACTTGAAATTAAATCTCAAGTTCGAGATCGAGGTGTTGTGCAAGGGCCTCGATATTGATTTGAGCACGATCGAGGCAACAACCATTCTGCGAAATTGTCCTACGGGCGACACAGCACCTGCCGTTGGATTACACGAATACGTCAACGAGATGGAGTCTGTGCCGATGAATGGATTCGATTCAGCCGCCGTTCCGGGTGATTCGCAGGTCGTATCCCTCGTGCATGCTGGCTCAGCTGAGTCCCAGCGAGCCATGGGATCGCATGTAGAGTCGATCCTCAACACTTTGGCTTCCAGCATCATCATCAATCCTCAGCTTACCCCCTTCCATGGTAACTCGGCTTTCAAACGAGCCGTTCAGATGGCGGTCGACCGCGCTGTTCGCGAGGTATTACCTTTTTTTTTACGATGTTAATTATTTTCTGACGCATCCTAGATCATTCTCCCAGTTGTTGAGCGTTCGGTGACTATAGCTGGAATATCCACTCGCGAACTTGTCGGGAAGGACTTTGCGACAGAAGTCAGCGAGGACAGATTGAGGAAGGCTGGGCATTTAATGGCCCAGAAGCTTGCTGGAAGCCTTGCTTTGGTCACTTGCAAGGATCCCTTGAAAAGTAATTTGGCTGGACACTTACGGACCGCTCTTCTGGATCACGGTTTCACTGAAGTGAGTTGGCGTGTTTCCTCGGGTACAAACGTGGCTGACGGTCCGTGCAGCAAGTTGTCTCTGATCAAGTTCTCTCCGTTTTGGTGACAGATAATGCTGAAGTTGCTTTCTCCGCCATTGAAAAAGCTGCAATGGAGCGTGCTGTAACTGATGTTGACGAAATCTTTGCGGCCTCATACGAGCTGCGGCGGCGTCACCGAGAGGTATGCTGTGTTACATTCTCCCGTTGTCACCCATGCTCACTTCCTCTTCCAGCTCCGCGGTGGACAGACCTTCTGGGACCCAACTGCCCCTATGACTAATTTCTCTGGTGCTCTTCCGGACCCTCTGCGCATAAAGCCAACTGGTCTATTACCCCACCAATTTGCTGTCTACGAAGACTTCGGTGAGTTTTCTTTTCGCCGAGGCTTGCCGATCAAGCTCATCATTTCTCAGCCCTCGATCCAAAACGTCGGACAACAACAATGAGCCGACCCACCTCTTCCATGACATACTCTCGAGCAGAACATGTACCTACCGTCTACGCCGCGTCCCCTACACCTGAGCAAACTCTTGGTCAGCATGCACCCATGACCCACCAGGAAGCGATGGATCGCTTCACGATCGCTGTCAGGGACTTGGAGAGTTTGATTGCTCAGCTACCGATTCCTTCAATTTCAGCCTTGCCATCTAACCACGATATCCGCCACTTGTTACGTCAAGTCTTATATATCGCTGTGGAACCGGCGGATCGTCATCGAACTCCTTTATTGATGTCGCAAAAGATCGTCCAGCTTCTCTACAAGACGTCTTCGCAGCTCGGGAGGGAGATTTACGTGACGCTTCTTGATCAGCTGTGCCGCGCGTTCGAAGATGTTGCTAAAGAGGCCATCACGTGGCTCTTGTACGCCGAGGACGAAAGGAAACTAAACATCCCAGTGACAGTCACACTACTCCGTAGCGGTCTCATGAACGTTTCTCTGCAGGACCAGCAATTAGCGAAGAGTTTGTTTCAGGATCCTCGCCCGAGCCTGCAGACTTTCGCTGCTGGTCTTGTTCGGGAGTGTTTGTCCAGCGACCCCCCGGTGGTCTCGCAAAACCAGCTGACCTACACCATTGAGGTCCTTGGCCAACTCGTCCAAGCTGACAAGGCCAACGAGGAGTGCGTACAGTTCGCTTAGTGATTTCTTTTTGTCTGACATCATGTAGCGTCAATCGGCTTCTGGACGATCTTCGCGGCGTTAGGCGACCTAGCCCGTCGGAAGCTCCGGAGGTCCCTGCTGTGCGCCAACCATCAGTGAAACCGGAAACCGAACAGTTGAGAGAGAAACTGTTCATGTGGTTCCAGCAATGGGTCACTATCTTCCAGCGTTCACACTCCTCGGAGAAGGCGTTTGTCCCGTACATTACACAGCTGACAAAACAAGGCATCCTCAAGGTTGAAGATGTGTCCTCGTTTTTCTTCCGTGTTTGCCTTGAGGCTGGTATCAACAGCTACCTCAAATGCATATCCTCTGGAGAGTTTGATTATGCCTTCCAAGCACTTGACGCCCTGTCCAGGCTCATCGTCTACATTATCAAGTATCACGGGGATGCAAGTGGCGTTAACAACGACCAGGCGAAGGTTCACTACTTAACGAAGATCTTGTCGATTGTTGTGTTGGTTCTGGCTAACATGCACGAGGAGCAAGGTGCTGTTTTCCAGCAAAAGCCTTTCTTCAGGTTCTTCTCCAGCCTCGTCAATGATCTGCACTCTATGGAGGTTCATCTTGGTAGCGCATACTTCCATTTATTGGTTGCCATTAGGTAGGATTATGCTGTCGAACCAATCACAGTGGCTGACCCAGTTATCAGTGACACCTTCAGCTCCCTGCAACCCATGTACTTCCCAGGATTTGCATTTTCCTGGTTGAGCCTTATTTCACACAGGCATTTCATGCCCAAACTCCTACTCGCCGAAAATCGTGAGGGCTGGTCCGCATTCCACAAGTTACTACTCTCCCTCCTCAAGTTTTTGGCACCATTCTTGAAGGAAGCTGATCTCCAACTGGCTGCCAGAGACTTGTACAGGGGCACCCTTCGTCTCCTCCTAGTTCTGCTTCATGACTTCCCCGAATTCCTCAGTGGATACTACTTCAGCTTATGCGACGTCATCCCGTACCGTTGCGTCCAGCCCCGAAACATCATTCTGAGCGCCTTTCCCTTGTCCATCGTACTCCCCGACCCTCACCTTCGCAGCGTCAAATTTGACTCGATCCCCGAGATGGGCCGTATACCACCCATTTTGTCTGACTTTGCTTCGGGGTTGAAAAGTCCTGAACTGAAAAGTGGTTTGGACCAATACCTCTTCAACCGCGGCACTCCCGCATTCCTGGTTTCCCTAAAAGAGCGCTTGAAGTCCTCAACAGTTGCGGAAGGTTCCACGGAAACATACAACCTGTCTCTTCTCGGCTCTGTGGTTATGTACATTGGAGTGTCGTCGGTCGCACAGGCAAAATCGAGAAGCGGATCTCCTGTTTTCAACCCCACCGACCCCGGCGTTATTGCTCTACATTATTTGGCCACTAATTTAGACATCGAAGGTAAGTTTACATTTGTCAGACCAGACGAACGAGTTTTCTGATTGCATCGCAGGACAACACCACCTCTTGAGTTCCTTGGTACTTCACTTGCGATATCCCAATGCACATACCCACTGGTTCTCGTCTCTACTCCTCCACCTGTTCCTTGAAGTCAAAGATGACCGTTTCCGTGAAGTCATGACCCGAGTTCTCCTGGAACGCTTTGTCGTCCACCGTCCTCACCCCTGGGGTGCCTTGGCTACGTTCATCGAATTACTGAGGAACCCGAAATACGACTTCTGGACCAAGGAGTTCATCCGTGTTGCTCCTGAAGTCACCATGCTTCTCGAAAGTGTACGTGGATCATCTTTCCTGACCGAGTCCGCGGTGCTCACAGTTGCGTCTGTTAGATTGCGAGGTCCATCTACTAATCCTTAGACTTCCGCTCTCTGCTTTCCGTTGCTTGCTATCTGCTCGTACAGATCTGTGTGTTACTTTGGGTCTTTTCCTCCTATTCTATTTTACCGGCTCTTTTTTCCCCCTGCACTCACTGTATTGTAACAACTTCCCCCGCCTACCTATGTGTTGAATCAGGTGTAACATGTCAGCGCTTCAGCATTGATCGTGCGCCGTATCGCATCAATGCTAAGTTCACGTTCCTTTCCTTTTCCATGTGGTACATGTTCAGATATTGTCTCATGTTGATGAAAATGCACACGCCCTTTTATTCTCCACGATGGTATGTAGATAAGTAATAGCGGACTACACCTAGTCGAACCAGGACACTTGCTCGTTACAGGCCCAGTGGTCACGATAGGAGTATGCATAAACGCTGATATGATTTTACCCATGCGAAAGATGGCCGTCAGTTAGCTATTTGATACAGGAATGAAGAAACAAATATGCGTACCCTGCACCCTCGACGCCTGCAGCACCGACCTCATCCGCCCGTCCACCCACCACAATCCAATCTGGAGAAAGCACCCCCGTACGAATCGGGAAAAGGCGGACGGCACGTTCAAGGCCAATTATATCTGTATATTCCAGGAAAAGCGACGTCGCTGTGGGATTGGTAGGATGCGGTTGGAGAAACAGTATCGCTGCGCGTGCCGATGCGGTCATATATATCAAACCGTACGTGCTAAGGAATAAGAAGAGGCATACCTGACGACGGTCTGCTGAATCTCCGCCTTTCGCTGAAGCACCAGGAACCGTCCTTGAACTTCCAGGCGCTTCCCGCCCGTTCGAGCCAGGCCTGCACGAGTGGATTCCTTGGCGCATCCGATCACAACCAGATTACCCTCGCCGACGTCGGCAAACGAGTTGAGCTCTTGTAATGATATTATCTGGGCGTCGAGGGAATGGTATAAACGTAATGCATACGAAATGCGGAGGGCTGCTGATAGCTCATGTGGGAGTGAGAAAGACGGGACAAGCAATGTCAATGGAGCAGTGCTAGATAATATTGCTTGGAGACGCTGACGGGGCTGAGGTGTGACCGGATCGTGGGTTCCCTCCGGAAGGATCTGGGTTGCCAAGATGAGTCCGTTAGACAAGCTGGAGGGCAAGCTCGGACTGGTATACCTTCCACATCGACCGACTTTCATTATCCGATGACGGCCTGTCCCTTGCAAACAATATAGTCCCGCCTGCATCATCCTCCATTTCTACCGCCAGTTCGTCCCCGTCTACATCAAGGATGAAGACAACATGCCATTTCCTGACCTCCCTGCCCCCATTACCTTCACCACTCTCTGTGAATCCTAAGTTTCTACGACGCGCATCGAGCCATGCCTGCAGATCAAGCGAAAAGATAGACACGTTAGTTGTTCGTACTAATATGCGCCCGTCTGATCGTGTAGGCGACACCTCCAAACGAGCCAGGCTGCATGGGTAAGCTATCACATGCGCAAGGCAATGGCAAGAATGATCCTCACAGTCCGGGTGTACTCAAAGCGCAGATTCGCCAACCACACATCGGACCGCTCTCGTGCGGGATGGAAACCGTGAGGGTAAAGCGGTCTTGCCTTCTCGCTGATGTAGAATTGTTGTCTGAGTTATGATTAAGCGGCGGTTCAGGGGAGGGTGAGTATAGCCTATCCAGGAAAGCCTGCACACGGTTGCTTTTTAACATCTCTGGATACCAGTGTGGACGACCGGGATCTTCGTAGTGGCTGTGAATGAATTAAGTGGCCCACTTCTGTGTCATGGATAGATAGGCACGAACGTAATGTCTGCATCCCGGTTCCAAGTCTTCAGTACCCCCACTAACTCGCGAGTATGCCACGGTGGAACATTGTCATCATCGCCTCTAGAGACGGGCACGAATTTGATTCGGACCAATATATCGATTGAGGTAAGAGAAAAACGGTGCGGATAACCCACTGAAGGTGTGAGACCTACCCATGCAATGCCAATATAGGTGTTCCCACAAGGTTCGACAGAAAGAGGTCGTTATCGTCAGGTGTGAGTGACGTTTCGAGCACGGCGCGAAGGAAGGGATCGGCGAAGTGAGAGAACCTGCGAGGCGCAGCATACGGTCAATCTACTATCTCCAAAGTAAAAAGAGAAAGCAAGGGACGGAGGCCGCGGCATGAACTAGCACGCACCTACTCATGTTCCATGGTACGTATGCCTGAGACTTGATGTACCCCGCAGCTGGGATCACTTTATTTTCGTCCAGACGTATCGGTAAGCGGTGAAAAGAAAGAGAAATAAACCGGGTGCCTACCTCCACACACTCGATCAGGCCATCTCGCTGCGATGTACCATGCACCCTGGCCACCATTAGAATGACCAACGAGCACGACACGCGTGTCAGCATTGAACCCCCGATTTCTCCACTCAAAAGGACCGCAAGCGAGAATGCGCGAGAGTGCCGTTACAGCTGAGAACGCGTCGGTTGCCGAGTGTCCGTGCCAGTCTAAGCCCTGACATCAAGGTGGTGCACGTATGGAAGTGGTAAACGACCATTAAATTATTGTAATGTCTGGCATCGACTCACCCACTCGGTTCTTCCCTGAGGCATGACAATCCACGCATGCTTCTGTCGTGGCAGCGAATCGGGCCACCAAGGTTGGGCAAGGATGTCTACGCTAGCTCCGTCTATCATGCAGTTCTATCACCGTGCAACAACGCTGGACCAACCATTGACGTACGTAGAGCGAGTATTGGTTCGTTCCCCGCACATTCGGACCCATTATCTCCATATCCATCACAGTTTGGTTTTGCAAACGGAAATTTGGGGGGGACGAGGGCGAATGCTGTTACCATGGATCGTGCAAAGAAGTAGGTAGCACGAATTGGTGTGTAATTGTTCTGTGTCCAGAGGCGAATATGATCGAGTGGGACGGTCACACTCAGCACAACTTCCTTGGCATGCGTTGTTTCCGACGTATGAACCGCATGGTCAGAGCGCAAACATGTAAGCTCGACAACGAGTTCCGTCACCTTCTCTGAAATGTACTCATTGTCGAGCAAGGTTATGCGAAGGGGAACAATGCGTGTCTGGGTGGGGGCTATCCGGATGGGCTCCAGGAGCGTCAAAGTAAGGGAACCGACACTGGTGCTGGTGAGCAATCGAGCATCTGTGACAGTCCACCACCCCGATTCGCCAAAGTCGATTGATCGTACGCCGATTCCGATGGCCTCGCCGAAGGGCTTTCCGGCGACAATGTGAGGTGTGATGGAGTGTTCCGGTGAATGTTGAAGAGGAAGCGTTGACAGGCAGTAGGACGGAGGACCCAAGGATTGGAGCAGTGCAGAAGGAAATTCTAGTTCGACGGAGACTATGATGTCTAGAATCGGATATGGGGACTTGTATGTACTTGGATCCCCGAACAAACGATTCTTTGAGTGACGACGATGCAGATGGGTTAGCACCAAACGGCTGAAACGGGACAAGACAGATACCTCATATGCTCCGCAAATTATCACTTCATACTTCGTCCCCTCCTCGCCCATGTTTGCCCTAGGCGAAGCAGGCAGCTTCACCAGTTGCGTTGGTACCCTTGACATCGCATACACGTTACCCATATGCCATTCAGGTATATGTTCCTTTCGTTCCACAGATGTAGGAGGCGGGAGAACGGTGAAGAACGCGCCGCGAAGGAGGTCCACGCGGAGGAATGGGTCGAAGTGACCACCCTCGGGGATACAGGTACCGGGTGGGGGGTAGACAGTCAACCAACCCCTGAGGACACTGACGTGTTGGTAGCCTGCCCAACCCTCTGTTGCACGTATCTGCTCCCAGGGTACAGATGGGTACGAGACGAGAATCTTTCCACGATGATCAGCTGTAGTTCGCGTCCACGAAACGCCAGCGGAGGGAGGCAACGAAGATGGATACGTCGAATTTGAATCAGAAGCAGGTGGGATCGGGAGGGACACTGCAGATTAACTTGTTAGGCAGTCCGGGTGACGGCGGGGAAGAAAGTACTTTCAGTCTAGAGGGTATGCTGGGGACAGGAAGTGCTGTTCGCGAGCGTGGACGGGGAATGGCCCAAGAACCTGCTCGACAACGACCTCCGTCAGCGTCAGAAACGTCTCAAACCGGCGAGGAAAGCGTACATCCCACTGCCGGTCCAACTCGGCGTGCCAGCCACGGTGATCCGTACTCATCGTCGTTGGGTGTGAAGATGGTGGGCGACTTCACCATATCAAACAAACTACTATCGGCCGTCTCACAACCATGACGGAACGACAACCCAATGTATAACACACATCGTACAGCAACGGAAGATACATGCAACGATCGCAAACCCGTACCCATGCCAGTCCACCTCGCGGCAGGGTATAATGCGATGACATACACGCATGCCTCTGATCACTTCTTCCCTGATCTGCGCAGGTGTCGTCAGGACCAGTATTCTCGCAATGATGAGAGGATTGCACGCACTTCTTGATTCCACCTGATGGGGGCGGACCACCTGCCGATCGCGATGTCCGTGGGCCATTGGTGCACGAATAGCAATCCATACATACCTTTGACAGCTGCGAGGTATGAAGTGAGGTGAATTTCTAAGAGGCAATCGTCAGGGGGCCAAGCGTACCTTTTTCTCGTGCAGCCTTCAACGCAGCCTCTTCTGCCTTCTTCCTTTCTTTCAAAGCCTTATCGTCTTCGTCCTCCTCCTTCCTGTCCTTCTTGGGTTGCTAAATGTCGGCGCGAAAAAAAAGAACAGCGGGTGGGCAAGCAATTTTATTATAATCCGAGTTAAAATTCCGTCAACCAGTACAGTGAAAGTCGTCCATGCACCTTTAGAGGCTTCATTTTTCCACCTTGGCGCGACATTGTTGGGAGATGATACGCTTCAAGTTCTGCAGTGACCCAGTCTGTATTAGATAAACTTTTGATGGGATCTGTGCAAAAAACCCAATTTTACTCGAGAGAACCCATTTAAGGACACGCCTTTGGTGTCAAAATAGTCTGCGACAGTCGTCAATGGGACGATGATGGCCAAGAAACGCGCCGCCGTCGCTGCACCCCTTCATGCAGAGCTAACAGAATACACAAACCTCATTAGAGCCCTGAGAACAAATAGAACCCTCGATTTAACAACCCATCTGCTCCAGAACGCAGCTCAGCAAAGACAGCCAGAAGGTAGCAAGGGGGCCGCAGACAGAGACACATGGACTCGATGGCCTCTCCCAGACTTCCCTGTCCCAGAATGGAGGTTGGACGATGAGGTGGAGACCCTTGGTGAACTGGTCATACACCAATTGGGCGACGGACGCGAGGAGTTCAAGGAAGAATCAGCCGCAGAAGAACATGAGGACGCAGACGATCCTGAAATCGACGAACTGCATCCGTCCACCGCTCACCTACTCGTCGCGCACGCTGGAGCACTGTTAGTTCACGTTTTGAACGTCCTGGCCGATCTCAGGCCTGCCACGGTTGCAAGCATGCAGAATAGGCTTTCCCCTATAAACTGGGAAGATGTCCTAAGTGCGCTGGCCGCCCAAGGGGTGGTTGACGAAGCGTAGGTTTAACTCCAATACAAGCGGCTGTTTCTGATAAGGATTCCAGTGTGATTTTTCGGGCAGACACACGGCTAAGGAGTATCTACGGCGGGCAGTCCGACACTAAAAGTAAGAGTTTTCTTTCAGGTGTCTGTAATGCGATAGTGTTTACCGTGCACGATGCAGTTGTCGAAAGAATGCGTGTGCTAGCCTCCGCCAAAGCAAAGTTTGCAGCTCTGACGTCTGCTTATGATGACGCCCTGTTTGAATTTAACACCGGTCCACAGGGTGTCCCTCCCCCGACGTAAAGGTGTCCACGAAAATACGTGCGGTAGATATAACTACTTAAAGGTAGAGAACTAAGTGCAGCAGTCAACAGTGGGGCACTGCCGGGTTAAATTTCTATGCGAGTAATACAACACACTCCTCCGCATGGCTCTTCATCCATGCCGACTCGACGACAACGCCCACCCCAACGCGTTCCCTTACCCGAGAATCATTGGGTGTCTCCTGCACCGCCATTACATGCAACACACACCCATAATACCTTTCTCCCCACGTAAGCTCGTCCCACATACCGCGAATTCCATCGCAACGTGAAAGTACAACGAACTCAAAAGTCGCCGGGGATGCTACCGAAGCAGGCAGGATGATGCGCCCGGCATTACTTTGGCGTGCTGGATCGACCGGAACGATGTGAAAAACAGCGTGAGCGGCGGATGCATCCGTATTTACAACACCGTCGTCCACCTTGACCACCTGGAAGTGCGCACGGCGAGTACGAAAGATCAAAGTCCCCGGTGACGGTGAAAATTCCAGTTCCAGATCACTCGCATAGTTCTCCGATCGTGCGTACATCTGGGGGTTTGTTGGCTCCGCATTCACGGGTGGGGTCCAATTTGCTAAGATTGGCTCGACGTCCAGTCGAATGATGCTCCGATCTTCGTCAACCATGTACCAGGCTGTAACAAGCGACTCGTCAGGACGTGCATGCACGTCGGAGTCATAGCCATCCAACATCTGCGATTCGTTTCCGTACTGGACAGCACCTTTCCAACCTGCCCATGCCCAAGACGGCCATAACGGTTGATTGCCATCTGGTACCGTGCGGCGCACGAGGACTTCGCGAAGACTGGGCTGCCACAGTAAGGAGGCGTCCAGGTACCTTATCCACATCCCGAATTGAAATGCTTTCTTAGGATCACTTCCGGCAGGCTCGCAGTTTCTGGTCAAGACATTTAGCAACGCAGTTATGGCAGCAATAATGTCTGATTCGACAGTCAGGCGCCGCTGCGAGTATCCTGCCACGGCGGTGGCGTAGTCCGTCACTGTCATGTAACTGGCTCCGGGATAGTCGGGTTTGGGAAGAGATATGCTTGTGCCTGAAATGTACAGAGGACGACTGGAAGACAAAACCTTGCTCTCTGCAACGACATCTTCACACCAGACATCTTTTGTACATTCAAAGTACATCTGGTGTTTGGTGAAGACCAAGCGACGACGTGAGAGGAGAATTTCTTGAAAAGTCCAGCCTCGCGTGTTCCAGTTGGACTCGGCCAGTGCCTCCGAAAGTGATGGAAGCGGTATTGCGAGATGAAGTCCCTGAACACATTCAATGTGTTGGGTTACTGACCGGGAGCCCGGTAGAATGCCTGACAGACCATCGCGCACGCTCATTCCACTGGCAGCGAAGATAGTGAACGCAGCCCTGCTATAAATCAGGTCCATGATGCAAATCTGGGCACCCTTGTCCGTTGGACTGTCTTGAAGGATGCACAACGCATCGATCCATAGGTACCGCTCGCCGATCTGGCGAGTAAGATGGATCGCGTCCCGGATCGTCGCTGGGAGAATGCCCGCGTCTAGTCCTGCAGGATGGATCCGGGTCTTTATGTTCTCCGTTGTCGTCCAGTAGTAATCCCCGGGACCTCCCCAGACGTAGCTAAGAGCTACGTAGCGGCAATCTGGAGATGCAGGAACCAGCGCCATCTTCGTTACATCTATCATCCTAACAAAGTCGGGGAGACGCTCGTCGCTAGGTCTCCACCACACAGACTCGCAGTCATGATCTGTTTCACAATTTTTGATCCACTTCTTGATCAGACCGACGTCAATGTTTTCCTCTAGTCTGCGACCATGAAGATCCCTCGATCTCGATAGTTTGCGGTAGTCTTCTTCTAACAGTTGGATATCCAGATGAAGTGCCGCTCCAGTAGTTATCAGTTGTCTTTGTATATCCGGTAAACGGTGTGAAGGATGTATGTAGAGACGATGGCACGTTTTTCTGCCTTGGGGATCTGGGACGACAGGCTCGACGAATTCGCGCGAAGACAGATAAAGCTTGATATTCTGAAGATCTGCATCAGGGAAGTTGTGAAGACGCCAGCGTCGCCGAATGAGATCAGAAACAAGGGAACACAGGCCACAGCGATCGCTCTTATCCATGATGTCTAGGAGCAGGCCAAGGGAGACCTTATCTCCCTCGGAGAGACCATCGCGAAGGATCTGTTTGATATCCAACGCAGCACAAGTTGTGCAGAGTGTCGATGTGGGTGTAGCTATGCCTTGGATGTGATGATTTGCATTTAGAGAGGGTATAGCCTGCTGCAGGCGTTGTCCTAGTCTTTGAAGCATGGAGTACCAGGTGGTCTCTTGAAGGCACTGCCATCACTTAGGAATGGTGTCATTCAGGGCGGTCCCAGTGGTCATCCGCGAGGGGGTTGACAGGGCCTTACCGCTTGCATAGAACACGCTATGCGTCTTACTAAGTACAACAGGGGTAAATTTCTACGCAAGCAATACAACACACTCCTCCCCATGGCCCTTCATCCATGCCGATTCGACAGTGACACCTATCCCAACTCGTTCCCTAACACGAGAGTCATTGTGTGTCCTTTACACTACCATTACATGCAAAGCACACCCGGAGTACCTTTTCCCCCACGTAAGCTCGTCATAGATGCCGTGAATCCCCTCACCACGTGAATGCACGATGAACTCGAAAATTGTCGGGGATACTACCGAAGCAGGCAGGATGATGCGCCCAGCATTACTCTGTGGTGCTGGATCGACCGGGACGATGTGAAAAATAACGTGAGCTGCGGCTTCGTCCGCATTTGCAACATCATCGTCCACCCTGATCACTTAGAAGTGCGCGCAGCGAGTGCGAAAGATCAACGTCCCTGGTGGCGGTGAACATTCCAGTTTCAGATCACTCACATAGTTGTCGCACCGTGCATACATCTGAGGATTTGTTCGATCTGCGATCCAACTTGCTAAGATCATTTTAGCATCCAGTTGAACGACCCTCCCATCTTCGTCAACCATGTGCCAGGCGGTAACAAGCGATTCGTTAGAAGTAGCAGGCATTGCGAAGTCAAAGCCATACAGCATCAGCGACTCGCCTCCGTACTGAACAGCACCTTTCCAACCTGTCCATGCCCAAGACGGCCATCGCGTGTGGTTACCGTCTGCTACCGTGCGGCGCGCGAGAGCTTCGCGCAGGCTGGGCTGCCACAACAAGGAGTTATCCAGGTACCTTATCCACATTCCAAACCGGAACGATTTCTTAGGATCACCCCCAGCAGGCTCCCTTATGACCACGACATTTAGGAACGCAGTTATTGCGGCGATGATGTCCGATTCGACGGTCAGGCGGCGCTGCGAGTATCGTCCCACAGCGTCGGTGTAGTTCCTGACGTTCATGGGACTGGCTTGGGGATATTCGGGAAGGTGCACTGCCGTCCGAAACATGGGAGTAGACGACAAAGTCTTGCTCTCTCCAACGACATCTTCACACCAGACGGTTTTTACACATTCAAAATACATCTGGTGTCTGGTAAAGACCAAGCGACGGCGTGAAAGGAGAATTTCTTGAAAAGCCCAGCCTTGCGTGTTCCAAATGGACTCGTTCAGTGCTTCCGAAAGTGGTGGAAGCGGTATTGCAAGATGGAGTCCTTGGACGCATTTAATATGTTGGGTTATTGTCCGGGAACCCGATGAAATGCCTGGTAGGTCGTCACGAACACCATTTCCGCTGGCGGTGAAGATGGTGATTGTAGCCCTGCTATAAATCAAGTCCATGATGCAAATCTGGGCACCCTTGTCTGCTGGACTGTCTTGAAGGATGCATAACGCATCGATCCATAGGTACCACTTGCCGATTCGGCGAGTAAGACGGATTGCGTCCCGGATGGTTGCTGGGAGAATGCCCGCGTCAAGTCCAGTCGGGTGGCCCCGGGTATTTATATTCTTCGTTGTCGTCCAGTAGTAATCCCCGGGACCTCCCTAGACGTAGCTAAGAGCTACGTAGCGGCAATCCGGAGATGCGGAGACCAAGGCCATCTTCGTTACGTCTATCATCCTGACAAAGTCGGGAAGACAGTCGTCACTCCGTCTCCACCAAACAGACTCGCAATCGTGCTCTAATTCACAGCGTTTGATCCACTTCTTGACCAGACTAATGTCAACCTCTTCCTTTAGCCTGCGACCGTGGAAATCCCTTGATCTCGACAGCTTGCGAGAGTCTTCTTCTAACAATTGGATATCCAGATGAAGTGCCGCTTCAGCAGCCACCAGTTGTCTTTGTATATCCGGTAGACGGCGCGAAGGATGTATGTAAAGACGATGGCATGATTTTCCGCCTCGGGGGCCAGCTTTGGCGAACTCGGGCGAAGACAGATGGCAGATGACATTCCGAAGATCTGCGTTAGGGAAGTCGTGAAGACGCCAACGTCGCCGTATGAGATCGGAGACAAGGGAACACAGGCCACAGCGATCGCTCTTATCCATGATATCTAGGAGTGAGCCAAGGCAGACCTTGTCTTCTTCGCGGAGACCATCGCGAAGGATCTGTTTGATATCCAACGCAGCACAAGTTGCGCAGAGTGTCGACGAGGATCCTTTGGTGTGATGATCCGCTTTCAACGAGGATACAGCCTGCTGAATGCGCTGTCCTAGTCCTTGGAGCACTCTTGAGGGCTCTCCCATCAGTTAGGGACGGTGTCATTCAGGGCGGTCGTCTACGAGGGGATCCCAGGGCCTTGCGTAGAACACGTTACGCGTCTTTGTTGTACAATAAAGTTTTCTTTCGAATGCAAAGTGTGAAAGTGATTAAAAGACCTGTATATACTCTTTTTTTCTCTCTTCTTCGTCTTCTTTCCCCAGTGGTTGGTGTGTGAAGAGCGTTGTTTTTGTTTGCAATGTTGACGACGTCCCGTCTCGCCTCCAACGTCAGACCGTCTCAGCAGCAGCAGCCGTCATACCACTCCAGCAGCACCAGCACTGCTGCCTCAGCACAACCCTCACATCCAAACCCACCGCCCAACATTCACCACCCACAGCAGACGACAACCATTCGGATCCCCATGCTGAGTGCACTCCAACCGCCACCGAACCCGCAGGCGAATGCGGGCCCACCTCAGCAACAGCAGCAACAGGGTCCTCTTGCACAACAGGGCCAGAGCATTCCACCTCCGCCCCCACAAAACGGCCAGGATTACACTCTGTCCAGCGTACTCCACTTCTTACAGACGGAATGGCGTCGCTACGAGCGCGACAGAAACGAGTGGGAAATTGAGAGGGCTGAAATGAGGGTGAGCACTTGGCACACTCGTCTTTTATTATTTTTCTGCACTACGTATCTCCCCGGCGGTCTGACGACACGGTCATCGACTGCATCGCTGCTTGTATGGGGGCTCCTTGGGCTTATATTTCACCCCTTTAGGCTCGCATTGCCCTCCTCGAGGGAGAACGCCGGTCATTTGAAAATGTAAAGCTCGACCTCATGCGTCGCATCAAGATGCTGGAATACGCGTTGCGTATGGAACGGTACGCGCTTTTCATTTCAAGCTTGCCCACCTCGATTCTAAAGGTTGTGGTCCTCGTCACAATCCCGATGGCGCAACAGCTCAAAGCAACTTGGACAACCGTCTACAACGATGCCGTCCAAGCCAAGTGCCTTTCAGCAAAGTTTAAAAGAAGATGTAAAAGACGGCAGTAGCGGAAGCTCGCCGCGGAGCGAAGGTGTGCCTCGTTCCACCTCATCCACCGCCTCGCAAATGCTAAAATGGTCTTTCTTGTAAGACTCCTCTTTACCACCGGAGCGTGGAGCGAACAGTGTAGGTCCTGGTCCTGCTCGCCAGCCCTCGTGGTCGGGGAATCCCCCGCTCCCAAGTACCACTGGTGTACAGACGTCCAGCGTGGCCGCCGCCACAATCGGTACTAAACCACCTCCAGGGCGCGACCCCAAGTCTCGCGCTCGCAGCCGCGAATACCTCAAGCAATGCCTACAGGAAATCTCCTACCTTACTTCCCCGCAGGCAATGAACCCTCTCCCAAACCGTCCACTTATCACTAACCCAAACCCTGCCATTGGACCCACTCCGTCAATCTTGAACCCTGGTTCAGCGGGTGGTGTCAATGTTAATACCAGTGCTGGTGCTCCTAGTGTCAGTGTCAGTGCAGGACCTGGTATCAACGGTCCCCAGGCATCTGCTCTTCCACAACCTGGACAAACACAGGGGTTCTTTGAGTCGATCTATAATGGTCGGCCAAAGAAACAGCTTCCGGAAACCAACGCCGTAGGACAAGGGATATGCAGTACTACGGGCGGCTTGCCGGGCAAGGAGTTCCCAGTCATGGGTGGTGCACCTGGTGTCAGCAATGGCATAACCCTTCCTTCTAATCAGGCAAGTACGCCTGCTTCCACGGGTTCTTTGGAGCGAGGGAGTCCGCTTTCTCCCGCTGGTGTGGGACTGTATCAGAACCAGCAACAGCCGGTACAGCAGCAGCAGCAAGCCCTGCAATCACAAGATAATCAGCCCCCCCACCACAGTACAGCCGCCGTCGCAGCCCCAGCGGTCACAAATGCAGCCGTCACCGTCACCTGTTACAGCAGGATGGCGCCCCAGCCACTGAGCCTTCCGTTGAGGACGGACAACAACCGAAACAACTGACAGCCATTTTCCGCCCTGACAGTAACTGGCGTGAGAAGCTTCGCTCGTCATACCAAGAGCAGGCGAGGCGATGGCATGACAGTGAAGAGGATGAGCCAGAAGAGGGCGAAGAGGAGGATGAATCCGAGAGTGTCAGCGTTGGTGTTGAGGAAGGTGAAGGTGAGGGCACCAAGTTATGGAAACCTAAGAGGACTTTGAGAAGGTTTGCTCCTGTCCGCCGTCTTCGCATGGGTAAGCGCTGACACCAGGTTCGTTTTCAGTCACTTGGACGCCGTGCGTGCGTTAGCTTTCCACCCGACTGAGCTCTGCCTGGCAACTGGCGGAGACGACTGGCACTGTGAAAATCTGGCGGATGGACGTTGCCGGCTTGACTTCATCTGTGTACGTCACCTAATTGCTCCTTTCATCCTTTATTCACTGCGTCATTAGTGTTCGTCCTACGACTGAAAGTGAGCCTCAGCTCACTCTTCGCGGCCACTCTGCTGGGATCACGTGCCTTGTACACTCGCCGACATGCCATCTCATCTACAGCGCGTCTCTCGACTCTAGTATACGAGTGTGGTCACTCCCCTCACCCTCACATACGACTTACGCACCTTATGACTCCACCACTGCGCGAGGTGAACTAATTGGGCATACTGACGCTGTTTGGGACCTTGCCCTTGTACGAGACGAAAGTACCCTCATAAGCTGTGGTGCAGAAGGTACCGTCAAGGTTTGGGATGTCGGTGTACCTGGCGGAGGTGCTCTCCGATTGTCATGGGGATACCACGGATTGGATAGGGAAGACGACGAAGGTGAAGATGACAAAGAGAACCCAGGCGCCTACCTCTGTCGAGGCCATCAAAACGGAGTTAAAGAACGTTGCTGTAGCATACCAAAATGCAGTCGTGAAAATATTCGAAATCGAGACCGGGAAGGAGGTCTCACGGCTGCCTACGGAACATGACATATGGTTGGTCATATTCAGTCCACAAGTACAAGCTGACTGATACTTGATCGTTTTCGCAGATGGCACGGTGGCGACTCAAGTCAATAAGATAGTCTCACATCCAACGATGCCCTTACTTATTACCGCTCACGAGGACAAGTTCATCCGGATCTTCGATATCATAACTGGTACGCTCAGACATTGATTCCACAGTGACCTACCCATCCCTAACACCCGTGGGGCAGGTCAATGCACATACAATATGCCTGCGCACTTAGACGGCGTGACATCGCTGTCTATCGACGTGGCAGGGTTCGCACTCGTCTCTGGGTCACACGATTGTTCAATACGTTTCTGGGACTTGTTGGGCTCGCGAACGTGTGCACAAGAAATAACGTCACACAGAGAAAAAGCAAAGGAAGGCGCACTAGACGTCGAGTTCCACCCCTCCCTGCCTGTCATGGCAAGTGCAGGCGCGGATGGTGTCGTCAAGCTCTACGCGTCGTCGTGATTTACGGCTCGCAAGCTTGCTACCGGGGACTTGGATCGATCTACTTAATTCCTGGATATGTGTGTTTTAGGCTTGTTGGGTATGGAACCATAGATCAGGACGAATTTCCTCCTTTGCTGCACCTGGTAGACCACAGCGCAACTGGTTATCATCTCCCACATATCCTGTTACTCTGTCTTCTGTACCCTCTTTCTTAATTGTTTCCGCTCGCCTTAGTAGTTAATGGCCCTACGTTACTGTCATGACCTTGCAATGCTCTTGTATCTAACGTAGCTGGGCGAACATGCCAGCGGTTCACGATCATGATCTGAGTCCCAAGAAAAAGCTCTACATGTACATACACAGTCCTAAGTAAGTAGGAGATGTCGAAGATCGAAGATCGGGAAGTTGTGGTAAGGCTACAACTAATAAGTGGTGAACTATGACACACGGTATATACGTTGACCGAAGGCGAATGACGTGACCAATAATAATTCACAAGAAAAGATAAACCCGGCTCTCCCTAGATAACTAAGGAAGTCGGTTAGAAGCGTCTCTGATGGGTGAGTGAGCCAAGTGCACAGAAACTCACCAATCTTCATTCCCTGGTCCGCTGTAAGAATCTCTACGCCAAGGTTGTGTGGCTTGAGCAAGTCTCTACACTGATCTCTAATGAGGTGGTTTATTGGGCGGTCCGATGAAAACGTCTCCTTGCAGTGCGTGAGAAATACTCTAAGGCCACCGAGTGCACCGTAAAGGACTTCTGGCGATGTCATATCTCTCTTCTGCCTCTTCCGGACTCGGACGCCCCTTTTCTTTGAAGAACTACGTGCAAGAACGACCTCTGCGGCAAGATTCAGCATCTCCTGAACCAAATGGTCGGGGCTCAGATGGCCATAAAGGGTCTCGGTGGGCCGACCTGCCGGATACGAGCATTCGATGAATATGGCAGACAGGTGGTGTGGGATCTTGGGTGCGGCTGCACGCCAGACGTCGACATTCCTGGGTTTCAAGGAAATGCTGTCGGGTTCGACATCTCCGAAGAAGATGAATTCGTGCTGACTAGGAATGTGCTTGACGAAGAAGCACGAGCTCTCGTACACCCCGCCTGAGTCACTTTCCCCGTGACTGACAGTCATGTTGCGCACTGAGACGTCTTGGGAAACGCTCTTGTACTTGCCATCAGCGTTCAAGCTATCAGGTGGGGAGTGTTATTTTAGAAATGCTCAGACGCTCAGGAAGAAGTGTCTAAGACTGACGCGCGATAGATTAGCCGAAATAAGGGTCGTCTTCGTCATAGCTAGCTAACTTGGGCCATATTCTGCCGGAGAAAATGGTCTCGAGATCTTTGAGCGTCTGTGGAGACCCATATATGTACTTTCTGCCACCACCCATAGTACCCGCGGACAAAACGAGGCTGCTTATGTGGTCAAGATGCGCATGCGTGATCAGGAAACACCTCCGATCGGCAATACAGCAATAAGCCAACATGGATATCGTTCTTGCAGCAGCAAGGGAGGGACGGTGCTTACTGAACGTTGGAGTATATTGCGAAGGGTGTGGCTCTCTTCGAGGGATCATCCCCATTTGCAATGGCTTGACCGAAGAGGCTCGGATTCCGTTTCAAGATATGTGCGAGCGCTCCGTGTCCTGAGCCTTCAGACACGCGCGCCGCAGGCGTCAGTGTGTCAGCGTCAGCGTTTGAGTTGTTACAGACGACGACGGCGATATCACGGACCTGCTTCCAGTGCAATAATGCCATCATCCCAAGATGTGTCGCAAGGTTTCAGCAAATATCTGAGGAAGACAAGACGCGCGAAATAATAGTCGAGTAAACATCCAATACTATATACGTACCCAGATAGGTTAGTCTCGTCAACGCCGCCGCCAGAACCTACGACGACAATGTCGAAGAATGGCATGGGGTATTCAGGTATCGGCCGGGCAGAAAATCCTCTCTGAAATGTGGTTATGAGCCAAGATATGTGTCGCCTGCAGTAGCGTAATATCGGGAGTAGTGCGTGTCCATATTCCATCAAGGCACGCCTTCTGACTGATGGGCAGCTAGGTTGTCGAGACACTTTATATTGAACGACGAGGAGTCACATCTCGCAGCCATTCTTGTTATCGAGTTGGCGGTATTAAAGATGCAGTGCTTGTTCTAAGTAGCTAGTACAGCATGTCAACGTATGAATTTGGAATCCGTCTTTGCCTCCACAATGATACCACTCTTTATGCCAACGTCGAAACAAAGCTGACATGTACGCGCATAATGGTGTTTTGACTGCGGCCGTGAGAAGGGATAAACAACACTCACATACTCAGGGTTGGTTCCAATCTCGAGGCTGCCTCAAGGACAATCAAGCAAGGCACCTCGTGCATGCTAGTAGGACTGAGAAGTCAGGTTTTGGCCTGTTTCTTAGGGAACAAAGCTTATCGAAAACGTGTTCGACGAGCCACTCCAGGGCGGGGGAAGAACCTGAATCACATCCTTGTCGTGCCTCAACCACGAGGTGACGGCTAGCCGAGTTAAATTGTGAAAAGAAGGGGGAATATAGATTATGAATGAGCGTGTGTAGTGTGTATGTACGGGTGTTGAAGAGCTATACATCCGAGGAATACGAAAGAAAAGGAATGGACCACGCGCGGGTGAAAACTTAAAACAAGAAAAAAACTACAACCTAAAGATCGTCACATCATATCATATCATGCATGACGGGACCCACAACCAATTATTGTGCACCCAGAAGGCTGTTGAGTGCCCTCGGCATGTCATAGTCGTTCGCCTCGAGGGCCGCGACAGCCTGATCACGACTGAAGCCCATGGAAGACAGCTGCTTGACAGACTGGTCGTCGTCGTCTTCGGTACCGGGTGGTCCAGTTTGTTCCCGAATAGGATTTGCTCGGCGAGCCAGGCTTGAAGGTGGAAGAGGAGGTGCCTGATCATGTTTCTTTTTCTTCCCAAACGGTAACCGCAACTACAGGATGGTTATAATGGGTCACCAGCGATTACAAACTAGCGCAGCCGAAACGCAGGGAAAGGACTCACACTTAGCTTAGAATGCCGTGGCGGTGGTGCTGGCTTCTCATGAACGTCTCTGGACGATGACGTCGACGACCTCAGCGTCTTCGGGGAAGCAACTCGGGGCGGTGGCGACGTGGCGCGCGGTTGCGGCGAAGTTGGTCTTCCCAAAGCTGCACGGGGGGAACCGCGAGGCGACGTCGGAGGACTCATCGCGGGGAATGGCTTCCCAGAGACGGATCCGGGTAACGTGACCACCTGAGAGGACCGCGAAGATAACGAATCACCCAGCCTCAGCGCCTGAGAAGAATCGAGTCCTCCAAATGCCTCGTCAAACGAGATACTCGTGAGGCCTGATTGATTGGGGTCTGTTTGCTCAGGCTGGGTTTGACTGGTATTCCAAGCACCCGAACTGCTATCAAATGAAATATGTGCAGCGGTCTGTTGTGTTTCCGCTTCCTTTGGTGGTGCAGCAGATGTGCTAGCGTTGCTTGGCTGCAAGAATAAATCGAACCGTCCAATACCATGAGACGTGTGCGCTTTGTCTGTGGGGATGCCACCGTTCACAGGGGCAGTCGTGGTCAACGGAGACTCGACAATGGGTATTTTCTCTGCAACAGATTGGGACCCGAAGTCAAAATCTTCACCAAACGTGTCATCGAAGAAATTCGACGTTTGCGAAGAACCTGGGAATGTCACGGTGCCGGACTCATTTGGCAGAGGTGCTAGGGGAGTTTTGAGTCTCAGCGGACTTCACTAGTACACCAAAGGGGTCAAAAGCAGGCGACGAGGTCTCGGCTAGAGCCTCCGTTCCGCGTATTGGCTCTGAGGCGGCAGGGCCCTCCGTGCTCTGGCCAGCAACGCCGAAGGCACCTTCAAAGAAGGCTTGAGCTGCTGCTGACGGTGATTCCTTGGTTGGCAAGGCGACCTCTGGAGCTTGGGCTTCTTCCTCATGGAAAGCCTTCTCGCTAGTGTGATCGTCGCTGTCGCTGTCCGAATCCTCGACATCCAACTCGTACAAGGCCGTGGACAGGTCGGTATGTTTCTCGCTTGTTGTTGGTGGTTGCTCGGGCATCTCCTCGAGTGCGGGGAAATGAGTGACCGCAGCTTCAAACGTATGAACACGAGTTGGAGCATCGTTGTCTTGGTTGACAGGTGTGTCGCTGACAGGAGTAGAAAAATGTTCTTCATTGGCACCAAAAAGAGCATTGAAATCCGTAGACGTTCGGACACGAGGAGTGGTCGCGCCCTCTACAACGTCGTCGTCCGACACCTCTTCGAAAATTTCTTGCGGTCTCGCATCGGTCGCTTGCTTAAGACCGAATGGGTTGGTCTCGGGCGATAGGGGCAAGGTCGCGGGTGGGGGAGAACTTGGAGGCATAAGTGCAACGGAGAAAGACCTAAAAGGAGACTGAGATCGGGGAGTAGGAAGACTCGGCGGACTTGGCAAGTCTCCCAAATGGATTGTTGCTCTTGGCAATTGTAGGACTCGTGGTACCCGTCATATCTGGAGTAAGCGGCAATGGCTGAGCAGCAGCAAATGCTAATGAGTCGGTAGGAGACTTTGCCCGCTCAATGGTCTGTGCAACGGGAAACACCCCACTTCCGCCCTCCTCCGCCTCGATTTCCTTCGTGGCATTGGCGAGGTCAGTCTCAGCCTCTTCCAGTTCTTCGTTGGCTTTCGCCTTCTCAGACTCTTTGGTAGCAAATTGCTTCCGTGCGATGGCAAGAAGCCCTTTCTGCTGCTTCGCCTCCTTCTTGATCTTCTCCACCTCCTGCTTTGTGGTAGCGATCTGACTTGTGATCTCTATCACTTTCTTGTTCAGCTCCCGGACTTCCTCTTTATCGCGTAAGAAGGACCCCTCCAGTTCCGCCTTTTCGACGCGTATAGCACTAAGATCGCTCTCACTCGTGATAAGTTCTTCCCGCGCTTTCTGGATCTCGGCCGTCTGAGCTGCGTGACGTTCGCGAAGGTTGTTCAACAGAGTGGTCTCCGTCTCGAACGAAGCTTTAGCAGATGCGAGCTGAGTTTGTAACGCCGAGAGTTGTGCAGCCTGCGCAGCCAATGTCGACTCGAGGTTTTCACGCTCGCTTTTCGCGGCCTGCAGAGACTTGTTTGTAGAGTTCAACTGGTTCTGGGCGTTTCCGATTTCTGCGGACTGATCGTGGAGGGGAGGAGATGCGTGGGAGTCATCGTCATCCCCTAGAAGATCCTTGTTGAACGCTGATGGCGCTCGTCAACATCATATATGCTGAAGTGGAGGCTGCACCTACAAGAGTCGACAAATGATGTGGCAAAGGGGTCTTGAGGTGCTTGGAAAGCGCTAGACGAGGCATGAGGATGTGCTGGCGCTTGTGTGCCCGTGTGTTGGGGCTGGTGTGTAGGCTGAGGCTGATTGTGTGCGTTTGACGTCGTAGAAGGTTCATCCCATAGAAGATCTAGGATGGCTTCAGGAGGTTGAGAGGCGGCGACTGTAGCAAACGGAGAGGTAGCCTTTCTCATGGACGGAGGTACGAGTGTCGGTGGAAGCGTGTTTGGGACATCTTTACCGGCAAGCTTGTTTTGGATGAGATGCAGCGCGACCGCAAATCCGTCGCGTGTGAGCCGACCATCGTTATTGATGTCGGAGAGATCCCTGGAAGACACATTCGATACGTGCAGGGGGACGAGAGAGATTACGACACCCACCAGACTTGAGCCAGTACGTCTTCTGGCAACTTTGATTGCAACATGAATGGGACCGCTACATCCCCTTCTATGTAGCCACGCTTGTGAGAGTCGAGGGTATCAAAGAATCGATCGGAGGCCGCCTTCTCGGCAGGCGTGATGTCCCATGGTACGGCAGCCTGTGGAAATGGGGGTATCATGGGTGGCTGGGCCGCGGGACCATGGCGCCTAGAAGGTAGTGCAGGTGCGACGTTATGTACTCCCTGGCCAGTGAATTGTGGTTGCACTGCTGGTTGTTTAGTCGGTGGGATGGGAAAAGTAGATGAGGCCGGGGTCCCTAGATGCGCGCTGCTTCCGGTTACTTGGGCAGTGAGACTGCCGCCGCTCACTTGTTCGTATAAACCCGGTGGGAGAGTCGTGGGTACGAACGGTAGCTTTCCGGACATGGCTGTCTGGATCAAGTACATGGCCATCGTGAAGTCGGCAGAGTCGAGAGCGCCTCTGTCATGTGTGTCGCAAAGAGACCTACAACGGAATGAGTATTAGTATATCCGCGGAGGAGGGAGAACCGACCATATTTGCGATAACGTTTCGACGGGCAGCTTTGACTTGACAAACATATCACGAGCTTTATCGCCTTGATATGATAGGTGTGTATGTAGCTGCATGTACCAGAGAGAATAAAATAGGACATACCACTTAATAGGCCATCTACGGGACCGCAGCTTTGGAACATCTTGTTGAACCTGGCCCTGTCTTGCGGTGTCAAAGGGGGGAGGCCTGGTGTGGGTGGGGGTGATCTTGGTATTGACATCCCCGTACTTTGTTGTATCAAGGGTGCATGGACACCCTCGATAGTAGCGAGCGGCCCAGCTACGTCATCCGTGGGTTCAGAAGTCAGGGTGAATGAGACAGCAATTGGATCTCACGTTTACTGAGGAGTGACTTGTTCAACTTCTCGCCCTTCTGAGCATGGCCCATTAGACGCAAAGCAATAGCAACGCCCTTCTTTGTCAAGAAACCGTTGTTGTCTTCGTCTGCAATGCTCCATATTTCTCCCAAGACAGTTGGTGGAAGTTTGGATCCGCCGAACACCTTGACGGCGACGTCACCGGTGAGGATGCCAATTTTCTGGGTGTCCGCCTGTGCGAATATCTGGTTGACCAGAGCGAGCTCTGAGGCTGTCGGCGTGAAACTGGTTGTCGTCGCCATCAAACCAGGTACTTGGGGAGACTGTACAGTCGCTCCGTAATACTATGCGGTGTAGCCTGCCGGACAGGTTTATTTATTTATTTGCTGATCAAAAATAATTATGTTTGTGAGACACGTGACGGGCGCGTCCATTCCAGAACTGCACTGCGTTTCCTCTTCGCCGTCGACCTCGCAAATGGATCAAATCACGTCCTCACTCGCACCTTCAAGAAATGCTGTCAAGTCTGCTGCTACAGGCTCTCCCGGAGACGGTCCTGGCAGTGTAACGAAACGGTGAAGTACTTGCAGATCAAAGAAACGTTTACCGTTTGCTGACTCTGGTTAATATGTACAGTTTGAGCAACGAACTCATGACACTCCTGGTGGGTCGATTATGACAAGCTGATGATCAGATTTTGACTGTGCCACACAAAGATGTCCTCTTCACCTGGAATTGTGCGTGAACATCGTCATTGCATGTCCCAGGCAATCCTGAAGTAGTTTGCAGTCCGCATTTCCCAAAAACGACTCCAACCTGTTTGAATGGGCAGGTACGATAGAAGGGGCACCGGGTACTGTACGTTTTTTTTGTTCGATTTCCTGTCACTCCATCGAGTTGACTGCGTGGCGATACATAGATATATGGTGGTCTTGCATTCCGAATCTCGATTTCATTCCCTAGTAATTACCCATACTCTGCGCCGACCATCAAGTTCGAGACGCCATGCTACCATCCGAATGTGGACATTAATGGCGGCGCAATTTGCCTGGATATTTTACAGGTAAGTGTGATGGTGTTTAAAGCGGTCTTTATTGTCTTATGGCCCTGCCAGGACAAGTGGTCAGCGGTGTACAGCGTACAAACGGTGTTGCTCTCTCTTCAGTCATTGTTGGGAGGTGGGTAACGATATCCAGGAACCTGGCGGCATACTGACGTAGAACAGAACCTAACAATGCTTCTCCGCTTAACCCCGATGCAGCCAATCTATGGAGTAACCCTGAAGGTAGGATTAGCCGCGGGGAGATGAAAAAGCGCGCTGATCGATCTCTTGTAGCTTTTAAAGTTCAGCTCATGAAGCACTACCGCCCGTTGGATGGCTCGGCGTGAGATTCGCTTCTGATTCCCCTGCATTCATGTAGCACGTCGCAGTTAGGATGTAACGTTTTCGTCATCGTATGTTGTTGCTTTCCAAAGGACTGTTGTAGATACAATGTGGTGGTTTCTTCCAATATTGGTGTATTTCTGCTCTGTGGCGTCTAAGTGAAACGATTGTTTCCGATTCACACAGTTTGGTTCTTTTCAACCAACTCTGTCCACACGGACAATCAACGAGTACCGTTTCCTGGTGGAACGTCGCGTATATATATTCGTCGTACGTGCATAGCCGACGCTCCTCAGTGATTCTCCTGTCTAAACCAGGTTCTTGCAGTTGACCATCTTCAACTGTTGATCGCCATCGATATTTTCCAGTTGTCAACTCACACTCCTTCTCAACTCCCTCATTTCTATTATCATGCCCCGCCGCCCACCTCCAAGTGCACTCAGACTCTTCCATGGCCCGCTCCCACCTCGCTCGGAGCCCAAGCACAGACTGCCGTCCGTGCCATCTCCAACATTTTATCCTCAGGGGGCTCTCCCCCACCAGCCATCGCCCCCTCCACGCGCCAAGCCCAGTTCTACACGCGTGGCATGCTCTGAGCTCGATACTAGTATGTGTGGACCGAGTCCGACATCCAGTCCGTGCTCGACCACCAAACGTCGGAGGGGACCTTGGGATCACTCTTCGAGCCTCGAACTACGCGTAGATGTGGACAGTCTGCTGGCTGTGCCAAAGCCTGTTGTTGTCTGTGCGTAGACGGCCTGGAGCCTACATAATGCGATTTCACGTCGGAGGCATGGGATCGAGACACTTGACCTGTGGTACATTCTGTGGAGAAGCAAAATATCGTCATGGTTGGCATGGCATCGGTCATCGGGGGTGTCTAGTTTGCTGAGAGATGGGGTTGTACGATCGAATACATTGTGCCTTGCGCCGAGAGACTAATTCCGAATTCCATGTAAAATGACTACATAAAGCAAGTCGAATAAAAAGGGAGCGAGAGTGGCGTGGGGGCCGTGTTTTTGTTCGGTGTTCGATCGACAACAAACCCATCGCTGGTACTCTTTTTTTTCTTTTCTGTACTTCCCTTCGCTCGGCTTCTTTTTTCTTTTGGTTTTGGTTTTTTTTTACGACGTATTAGTCCCCAGTCATGTCCTCGTCACCCACCCCAGACATCTCCTCGCTGTCGCTCAGCAGCACCCAGCAAGTATCGCAGTACCAGCAACAGCAGCAGCCCCGTCTTCACGACAATTACGAGTTTGACACCAGATCCCCGTATCCCTTCGCCGCCCCTCAGACCCAGTACAACCCTCTCGCCATGGGCCCGTCTCCGCTTAAGCTCAAGCCTTCTCTTCGCAGCGGCCTTCCCACTGTACGTGCCCCCGTTCCTGACCTCGACCCATTTCTTTTCTCACTCCCTACAGCAATGGCTCGATAATTCATCCGTCATCCAGGAGAGTCGCTCCCTTTCGCCAAACAACAACTCTGATTTCTCGTCGTCGGGTGGATCCCCTCCCATGGGCCATCTCGCTCAACCCTCCTCCGCGATCGCCGCGCAGGCGCCCACCCAAAACAATGAAGAGGAGATTATACCCACTGCTATCGTGATCAAGAACATACCTTTCAACGTCAAACGTGAAACGCTCCTTGATATCATTGTGAGTCATCCGTGATCCCCCGTCAAGAAGAAACAGAGGTCAACAGGTTCTCCGATCATTCGCAGGCATCCTTGTCCATCCCTACCCCCTATGCATTCAATTATCACTTGGATCAACAGGGTTCGTTCCGCGGTCTCGCCTTCGCCAATTTCCGCCAGGCTGCCGATGCAGATGCCGTCGTAGCAGCCTTGAACGGATTCGAAGTCCAAGGTCGCAAACTCCGCGTTGAATATAAGAAGGTCTTGCAGGCGGGCGAAAAGGAGCGTATCGAAAGAGAGAAAGCCCTTCGTCGGATGCGCTCCATGCAGTTGGAAAAAGAGCAGCAGGCAGCTCAAACTTACGACGACTTTGGCCCCATTTCTCCGCCTCACTTTGCCACTCCGCAACGCTCTTTCTCTACTGGGGCGTATCAGCAACCGTACTCCCCTCCACCTATCTCTTCTCTCCCGACTTCTCAGCCTTTCGGCTCAACGACCACTCCGCCGGTGGCACCTGCCACGCCAAGTTCATCCGAAAAGGCTGCTTCTTCCAATGAGCTAGACTTAAACGACCCATCCACGCTTGAAATCTATTCTAGAATCTTACTTTTTAGGGACGATCCTATGCGGGATGAACTCGCATTTTCTAGGTCCCTGACCCCTAAACAGAGGAGGGTAGTTCATTTAATTGCTCAGAAATTGGGCGTGTTTCATTACTCTGTCGGAGAAGGTGAAGATAGATATGCGGTCGTAACTCGCATCGACCCAAACAGGGTAAACCGGACCTTGTTCTTGCTGTTATTCGCTTGGTACTGACACGTCTTTGGTTAGGCCCAAAGGACTCAGCCAGCTACCCTGTCGCGCGCTCCATCCGCATATCTCTCTGCATCAAATTCTCAGTCCCAGCTCGCTACTACCCTCCGCATGAAAAAGTCTATGCCTGACATGAAGACCCTGCACACGCAGGCTCCACGCCTGGCCACACGTGCATCCAACGGAAATATCCGTGAGGGCTACGCCACTATCGCCTCTCCGTCTCGCCGCTCCCCTGGTGGGTTTGGCGCGCTGTTCGGCAATTATGGTAGTGGGAACAGCAGCGCTATCCCTCCTGTGCCTAGTCTGCCTGCTACTGTCACCGGTTCCATTAATGGCAATTTCAACGAGAGCGCGAGTGGTGTGGTTAGACAGCCACGTGGTCCTGGCGTTGGTGGCTTCGGGCAACGGCGGGCGGCGGCGAACAATGATGGACAGGCTACGGTCGCACGTGGTATGGGTCTCGAAGCCCGCACGCATGAGCCTTTGGAGATATAGACACTCGCATTTCACAGACGAACTTACCTTACGGAGTCGTTTTTTTGCTAACAGGGTGTTGTCCATCTGTGCATGGCCATTGGCTCCAAACCTTTTGTTCTGATTACTTCTCCTTTTGTTCTTTGAAAACAGGTTGTGCAATATCTGATTACCTCTCTCGATTATCTCCCTCTCATATTCCTTACTACTCTCTGGCTCTTTCTCTCGTCCTTCTCCTCGCCTCAATAATACTTGTATACCGCATGCTTTACCAACTAAACCAAATCTCGATTCTGCAGGCCTTCCGAAAGAACATCTTTTGTTAATAATCACTGACCGCTCATTCTTCAATGGGCCCGTATCATGCTTCTGTTCACTTGGATTTTTTAGAGTTTGACTCCGGATATCGAATGTCATTTTCACGCTATTCTCCACACATGATACGTAGTCGTTTGTTGGAATAAATATGTTCTTGTTTTACTCGAGATATTCACGAGGTTTTCGGGGACTGCGAAGCCTCGGCTTTGATCCACATTACTCTAGTAATCAGCCGTGGCCACGAAAAAGCTTTTCAAGATGCCTTCTGCAGCTGCCATCCACGCCGCCTGCTTCGCGGTTGGCGCAGTCGTAGGCGGTGGAATCGCTGCGGCCGTGTCTGCGCGTGGTGTTGGACGACCAAGACCGGCCAGTGTGACTTCCAGCGGCACAGCAGTCATCCCGGCCGTTGGGCCGCCCATCGTGGAGGTAGGGCCCACTGGAGATGCGAAGTTAATACCGAGCGCCGCGGTCTCGGGCGCGTTGGTGTCACCGGTATTGAAATACGGGCATCCGGGTGGGTTTTCTTTTCTTTTCTTTTTCACCTTCCAGAACTGCCGAGACCTCGGATTTACATCGCGGCATACGGTGGAAGGCTGACCACTTCACTCATGCATAGGACCGGTACCGGATCTATTGGTTCGCAAAGCCTATACGGTGGCATACGATCGAAGATATCGCCACCCTGCATGGGTATGTATTAGTATTCTCATGCTCGCCCCCCCTTTTTTTTTCTGTGCTGAAATTTTGCGTTTGTGCGACGCGATTAGACGGCAGAACACCTCACACTAGCCTCCCTCGGCAAGTCTGCGTTGCTGCCGTCGTCCCCTGTCGGATGGAAGTGAAAACGGGGACAGGTCGAGGTCGAGCTTCACGGAAGACGACGCGTTGCCTGTTCCCTTCCGCGCCAAGTTGCAGGATTACTTCCGGAGTGGATACGACCGAGGTCATATGTATGTTGTGGCAACAAAGCAGCGTGGAGGAAAGGTTGTTCTCTAACTCTGACTCTTTTGGTCACGCACATACAGGGTCCCCGCTGCAGACGCGAAAATATCACAGGAGGCTATGGACGAGACTTTCCTTATGTCCAACATCGCACCTCAAGTCGGTGATGGGTTCAACAGACACTGTAAGTCGGTGTTCCCCTACTTTTTGGAGTTATCCTAGGTTGTCCTTACTTCCCCTCCCCCTCTCTCATTCGCCCGGTTAGACTGGGCTTATGTAGAAGACTGGTGCAGGCGTCTCACGAATTCCTTCTCTGATGTCTACGTCTTTACGGTCCCGCTCTACCTAGCCACACAAAGACCCAGATGGAAAATGGCGCGTTGTAAGAGATAAGCCATGATTTTTGTTGCGCGCTTCTTGACTGTCATCCACTATTTTTTTTACAAGACTTACGAAGTCATCGGCTCGCCGCCCAACGTCTCGGTACCGACTCATTTTGCCAAGGTGGTATTGGCTTCGAGGCCGTCCTCGCCCAAGACGCCGGACGTGCCGGAAATCTCGACAGGGGCATTTATATTGCCGAATGCGATCATTCCCGACGAAGCACCTTTTGAGAGTTTCGTGGCTCCGGGTAAGCACATTTTTCACTTTCCACAAACTGATTGAATTGATATTGCATTGCTTGCTAGTCGAAGCCGTTGAACGCGCAGCGGGTCTCACTTTATTCTCTGAAGCGGTGAAGAACGCGTCGAAGCATATTTGTCAGACTACCAAGTGTGAAGTCATCGTTCGAAGATTTGACGAGGCTCGCAAACGACCTGAACTCCGGCGAACTGTCTCGGCACCCAAATAACCCTCTACTTGCTATTACGATCTGGGTGTGAAGGAGTAATATGGTTGACGCAGTAGTTGGTTAGTGTCATCTCAAGGTAGTGAATATATACATTATTAGAAGTCAGATAGCATATCCTTGATACCATTCCAATACTCGTCGTCTGTGATCCGCCGTATTTCACCTTTGGTTAGCCAGGCAAAGTCCTGGTACCGTGACTGCTTGGGTCGAAGCTGGCCAGCGAGAATGTGGGCTTTGTAAAAGAACACGACGTCCTAACGAGCCAGTCAGAAATAGTGTCGCACGACATATCGGGAAAAAGGCTTACTTTTGCCTCTGGTTCGGTCACATTCAGTTTTGGAGGGTGGTATACGCCAATTGGGTTTCGGCTGACTAGCCAGGTATCCATGTTCCGTCCGCACTCATCTCCGAGTCTCCTAATAGCGGACTAGACGTGGGGGGTTAGATATGGACAGCGCTGATACACGGAAGAACGAACGTACGACATGCAAGAGTTCGCCCTTTTGGACCGGACCAGTAGGCAACCGCCAGACGTCCTTGTCATTTTCATTTGTTCGAAGCACGGCGTACAAGTTGCGCTGACCCTTCCTGTTGAGATTCTTTCGGTCATTCTTGACGTCCGCTTCATGAATCCGAGGCATAGATTGGTCTGTTTCGTCTCGCAAGCTCATCTCCATAAGCTCCGTCGCCTCGTCCCTCTCCTCCAACTTCACCGTGCCGAACGGTGCACCGAACGCCTTGCGTTCTCGTCTGCGCTCCTCGATGTTAAAGCGCGTCTCGAGTGGTGACCCTTGTTTGAAATAAAAGTCGTACGGAAACGGGTTGTGCAATGCTCGATGGATCCGGGCTTGGTAGGCGTAGAACGCGCGTTCGAACGGTGTCGGTGTACGTGTGAGGAGAGGGGATCTGTTTAGTATGATAGCGGTGTGGAGACTGGCTCGGGTTTTCTTGGGAGGCGTCGGACGCGTCGTTGGTTCACCGACATCGCTGCTCGTCGGCGGTGGTGACGGGGTGGCCTGTGCCGTCGTAGGAGTTTCAGTTGCAAATGGCCGCACGCAGACAGCAGCTGGTCGCCACGCGCCACGCTGAATGCCTCTGCACGCCAGCATGTCTCTTTCGACGTTGACCGCGACGACGGACTAGAAAATCACAACACAGGGGGGTCGACTTTCTAAAAGTAGTGAAACCGTGGGAATACTCGATCTCCGTAGACGTACGCGCCGCGAACAGCAGTGACGCCGGTGCGATCGAGCCATGTCAGCGTCGCTGGTGTCGAATGCTTACCTTGACGAGCACTCAGCAAAGATCAGGTCAAAGCCAGTCCCTTGGGAGGTATTCCTTGTCAATTCTCCCGCTTCTGTCGCCGTTGACGTGCAATCGACTACCAGGGATACCAACGCGCGGGGCTCGTCACGTCGGAGGAACTCAGCCTCATCAAGAAAGTAGACAGGCAGCCGCGAGCAAAGACGGAATCGATTCTCATATCGGATGGCCAGACGTATGCTCTCTTGTATTTGCGCTTGCTCAAGAAGCTTCAGCGAGTAGACACCATGCAGTGTCTGCTCGTCCTTATTGCCGATGCCTTGTTGGGTACGTTTCTGCGATACAAACGCACTCTGTAAAGATACATTGGTAAAATTTGGTTGTAGATCATGACGAACGGATACCCCTCTTCACCCGAACTGCGCAATCGGATCCGGACCTTCCATATGCACCCTTTCTAAGGTAGACGCGTCATTTTGGCAACAACCTTTGGTGATCTTACTATTGACGCTCATACCGATATATTCATTGTGGTCAGGACCATGGAAACTCAGGACGAATTCGTCCAGCTCAAGTCCGCGCAAATCTTGACCATCCTGCTGAGGTAACTTTACCTTCTTTCGAATGCATTCCTTGCCATATCGATTGTACCTGCAGTGCAGAGTCAACACCATTACAGCATCAGCACCTCCAGCCTTTCCTCAGAGTTCTCGCGGCGCTTATTCAATCCGCATCCGCTAACAAGCGAGATGTCGCGGTTCAGTGTCTGGAAGCACTACTGGCACGTCCAGAATGTCGAAAGGCAGTCTGGGCTATACCAGGAATCATTGCAGGGTATGGCTTCCTTGCTGTCGCATGTGTATGGTATATACACAAAAGAGGTTTGACGCACTCGCGTACAGTCTAGTTGAAATTCTTCGGCACAAACCGGGACCACAAATGTGTTACCAGGTTATATTCTGCTTGTGGTTGCTGTCCTTTGAGCAGGATATCGCAGAACAAATAAACAAGTACGTTATTAGCGGAGAATCTCCCCCCTCTCTATGGTTGATCTAACTGCAGGAGGTTCGAGATTGTGCCTCTGTTGACGTCAGTTGCCCATGAAGCGGCGAAGGAGAAGGTCACCCGCGTGATCATAGCTACATTCCGGGTCCGTAGTCCTCTCCCCCCCTCTTATAAGCTTCTACTGCCGTGCTTATGAAGCCACCTCGCAGAACCTCGTCACTAAAGCCCCATCTGCAAACCTACCGGCGATGCTGGTATCAGAACTTCTTCCATTCACAAAGAACCTTGCAGCAGGCAAGTGGTCTGACGAAGACATCTTGGAAGATATCCAATTTGTCAGAGATGAATTGGAAACGAATTTTGCGAGTTTAACGTGAGTGAAGGTCCCTGCGCCTTCGCCTGCACGTTTGTATGACACCCAATATCCAGGACGTATGACGTTTATACGTCGGAACTTGCTTCTGGCCGTTTGGCATGGACGCCCGTCCATGAATCCGAGGAGTTCTGGCGTGAGAACGCACACAAGCTGAACGAGAGGGATTATGCACAAATGAAGTGGGTAACTACTCACCCCTGTGCTCTGGCCACACGTTGATCTACTCCATTATTAGAGCTCTTGTCCAGTTACTGGACAGAGATGACCCTGTGACTCTCGCTGTAGCTGTGCACGATGTTGGACAATATGTAAAGCACTGCGAACGGGGGAAGAAGTGAGATCATCCGCTCTTTTCCTTGATGTGTTTTTTTAAATCGAACTTCACAGGATAGTTACGGACTTGGGCGCCAAGGCCCGAGCAATGGAGCTTATGACGCACTCTGACCCCGATGTAAGATACCACGCACTCCTCGCCGTTCAGCAGCTCGTTAGCCATCCGTGGACTACTGCATGAATCGTTTATATTACAGAGCTACCCGTCCCAGATTACGTTTTTTGAACTCCTGAGAAACCATACGCGGAGAAGACTGACGTGCAATTAAGAACTAACCCAAACTTCACCTACCACATCATACTCCCTCAGCGTCCTGGGTTCTTTCACAACACGGTGGACGCTCGCCTCCGTATCTGAGAGTTCATGGTCCACGAGAAGGATACGTAGTCCGCCCACACAGATATAGCCAGTTTGCAGCGGGATGAACGTCAACTCAAACTGCCTGCTGCCCTCTGTTCTTGCTGCTGGGTGAACGTCTTCTCTTGACGACTGAGCCGCTGGTGTACATAACTTTATGGACTCTAACGCTAATGATGACGGTCCAACGAAGGGTGCATCCTTTTAATTTTGCGTCTCGTATCTGATCCGCTGTGCCGAAATGGGGTGGAGGTAATGACGGTGACAGCGGTAAGAGATTGTTGCGTCCGGAGTTGATTTGCACGGAAGGACGAAGTCGCAAGGAGGCGATCAGGGACAGTGGGTGCATTCCTGACCTGTGACGAAGTCGAGAACCCTCCCATGAGATCTCTATTGGAATTCGCAACCGATGATTCCGCGGCACTCGAAGCACGCGGAGGTCGGAGGTGCTGCACCACGATCGAGACCGTCTGATTCTGAATTCCCTTGGGTATTGAAGCAGAGACAGTGAGTTTGAATTCGATTGTGAAACGGTCGTAGACGTGGACAGGTTGTTGGACTTTCCGCATAGTCACGAGGTCCACCTGAACGTCAGATATTTGCTCCGGACCAATTACTGATGGAAAAGCTTGAGGCGCCGGAGCAGCAGTGTTGACGATCGATCCCGCGGGTGATTGAGGCCGAGGAATGGGTACAACAGGTCGGTTGCGGAAGGGAGAGGCTGGTCTATGAGGCCCTGGGGATGCTGATCGTGATGGAGGCAACTGTGGAGAATGTAAACGAGGGCTTGATGGCGTGCCCACGCGCTGTAGGTACGGCGGAATAGCCGAAGCGGGCTGCTGTGGAGAAGGGAGGGCAGGAAGTGGTGGTGGTTGTGATGCACCGGGGACCCGACGAGTGAGCATCTGCAGCAACGTGAGTGCGTGGTAAGTGAAGGACGGGGGGAGGAGGAAGCATGCACAGTATGGGTCACTTACGGACGTGAGGAGGCGACCAGGTTCACCGAAATGTGTGCGCCACGAAATATCCAATTTACCGAGAGAAATGACGGATCCAGGCTGCGCCGGTGCAGGAAAGGTCGGGATAGTAGTCGGTAACAACACATATATATACTGCCGAGTTGCCTGAGGTTGCATGAGAGCCATCGACCCAGAAAACAGTGGGGTGCTCTCCTCAGCGCCCTCAGTGTCACCCGTGCCAGTGATTAGGAAGATTTGGTTCATATCTGTTGCAGTCCAGTCCTCGGCGCATTCGAGATCTATGCGTTCGAACCACATCGGTTCCTGTGTAGTGTTTTGAATGTGGACTTCGAGGAAGACCTTCTCGCGTTCTATGGGATCCAGCAGCGCCGACGGGGATCTTGGGACATGAACTTTCGTCTTGACAGACAAGGGGTTCGTGACCTGATGGAAAGAAACCATGTTTCCTTCGTACATACTACGCAAATACGCACACGACGAAATGGCACTTACGACGAACTTATAGTATTTACGGAAACCCTGCAGGCTTGGGTCACCTGCACCTTCTGCAGTAGGTCCCGATGGTGTATGGTGGCGGAGCCCGGGGGGAGACGATAGCTTACAGTACACGCGAGCACATGCTGGCCCAATTCCTTTACTTCGTGATGAACGACAACCTCTAGAACGTCTCCAACCGCCAATTTTTTGCCAACTTCAGCTAACAAAACTTTGGAATTAGCGGTCTGCATTTCCACCTTGACGCTCACACCCTCTATATTGGTGTTCGCCGCCTCATTGTTCACGCATATGCAGCTGGAAAATGTCTCGCCAAGCTGGATGGCTCCGAATGCGACGGGGAGAGCGAGGAACTCTGACGCGTGCGATAGATCGCGGAGGGTCTTCGGATGACCAGGTAACGGAGTCTTCCCTTGCAAAGAGAGAATCGAGGCGGTAGAACGAGCGGAGAATGAGGAGGAGCTGGAGTAGAAAGGCTCCCAAGCGCTAGCAAGTCCCGGTCGCTGACGGGTTCAATCATCATTCGCGGAACAGTTCTGGACAACATCCTAATCGATCACGCACGGAAACACGCATGACCTTCAGAGATAGTGGGTGTCCTTGTCCATCGAAGTCTGTCATGTTCACAATTCCAAGTGGCAGCTAATCATGGAAGAGTCTAACTGAGTCCCCTTCGTGTTTGTTTGTAATTGTTTTCAGCATTAGGGGCTAATTGGTATCGCATGCCCACACTGTTCTTTCCTTCAGTGCTTCAGCTCTTAGCGAGCTCGATCTAAACTGGTGGATCGGCTCGAGCTCGAAATCACCTGTCGCTCTAGAATCGCCGAGCGGAGAAAGCTATACGCTGACCACGAAAAGAAAAGTCGATAATTGACGAACTGGAAGGAAGCCACTGCAGGAGATGTCGAGGGAGTGCATGGAAATGGTCATTCAATACATCTGCCAGAAATACCCGAACCAATTCCGTTAAAATGACTGGATGGGCATGTTCACCAATGAAATGAAATTCTTCATACCAGGTCGACATTGCCACAGTACATCAGTAAACCACTTTGTGTGCTGGCAGTCCTAGGGAATCTGTCCAGTGCTGGACAGCTCTGGACAGCTCTGGCCAGCAAAAGTGATTTACTGATGTACATCCATTGGTGTTCCTCAATCAGACTTACAGCATTGGTAATACAGCCATGCCTTACACAGTTCATGAATCATCATGCATCATCTCCCATCAGCTCAGCTAATCCTCTCTTCATTACTTGTTAGCTTGTTAGCTTGCAAAAGCCACTGAGTTCTGGTACAGATGAGAACATGACAGAGTACATGGGTTCTGCAGGATTCTTGAGCATTGATGTAGCAAGTTCTGCAAGGAATAGTGAGATAAACTTGAATGATCAACCCACAGATTATTAAGGAACACTGCTGAGCTGCAATTTGCCAACTGTCCCATCAATGCTCACACCAACAGTGAAGGGTTATATCTCCATTCTTCCAGTTGCATGGTGACTAGTCTGCTTGAATTCAAGGCTGAAGAGGTCATAGACATGAACAGGTTGTTGGACTTTCACATGATAACAAGGTCACCTGAATCTCAGATATTGATATTTGCTCTGAACCAATTACTAATGGCTGAGCTTGAGCCACTGGAGCAGCAATGTTGACAATTGATCCTGGAGGTGATTGAGGCCAAAGAACAGGTATGGCAGGTCAGTTGTGGAAGGGAAAAGCTGGTCTATGAAGACCAGGGAATGCTGATTGTGATGGAGACAACTGTGAAGAATATAAACAAGGGCTCAATGGCATGCCCACACATTTTAGATGTGGATGAACAGCTGAAATTGGCTGTTATGGGGAAGGAATGGTGGGAAGTGGTGGTAGCTGTGATACTCCAGGGACCCAATGAGCAAGCACCTGTTGCAGCATATGTAGTAAGCTTAGGACAGGGAGGAAGGGAAAGTATGAGTCACTTATGGATGTAAGTTTTGTGGGTGGGGTGAGAGCAGAAGGCTACTCAGGTTAGCCTAGACACAGAACTCAGACTTGAAATGATGAAGTCTGAGGTGTAAGGTAAGGTGAAGTGTAAACTAAGTACCTAACATATTACCTAATCAACTCAGTGTAGATCAGATGGCACACTGTGCAACAACAGTAAGAAGGCAACCCAGTTCACCAAAATGTGTGCACCATGAAATGTCCAATCCACTGAGAGGGGTGGCAGATCCAGGCTGTACCAGTGCAGGAATGGTCAAGATGCTGGTGGTCAGCTGTAATGATTGAGGTTGGACTTTTCCCCAGCTCATGCATGTGAAGTGAACAATATGGTATTTGCACAGTAAGATGTAGAAAAAAATAAATAAATACATGAGATTTCAAGATATGTTTTATATATGAGCAGGGCATGTGATATTAGGACCCCATGTAGTCCATTTAGTCACAACATATAGGTAGCCTGCATGCCAAAATGCCAACACTTATATAGACCCCATGACAGGCCCATCTAAATAGATTAGCCATGACACATGGACAGGCCTGAGGGCCTATAGTGAGAGCAACATATGTACAGGCCCATAAATGCAATTCCACAACATATGGGAGGGCCTGTGGAGGGTAAGGATGCTGCAACATATAGATGGGCCTGTGACCAAGTAAGTATGCTAAGCTACTGTAAGACATGGATGGGCCTGCCCATTGTATCATGAAGAAGGTTGCAACATATGGACAGGCCCACCCATCATATGCTTTATAGGGTCACAACATAAAGAGGGGCCCCTCTATGATAGATTACAGAGTTGGCAACATATGGAAGGGCCTGTCTTTGGGATAATATACCCCTGTCACAACATATAGATGGGCCCATCCATAGCAAGATGTATGCCTGTCACAACATAAGGACAGGCCCATCAGTAATATCATTGACAGCATCACAACACATAGATGGGCCCATCTAGTAAGATATGCCCCTGTCCCAACATAAGGATGGGCCCATCAGTAATATCAATCACACAGTCACAACACATGGATGGGCCCATCAATAGCAACATGTATGCCTGTTGCAACATAAAGACAGGCCCATCAGTAATATCATTTACAGCATCACAACACATAGATGGGCCCATCCAGTAAGATGCACCCCTGTCACAACATAAAGATGGGCCCATCAGTAATATCATTTACAGCATCACAACACATAGACAGGCCTGTCCAGTAAGATGCACCCCTGTCACAACATAAAGACAGGCCCATCAGTAATATCATTTACAGCATCACAACACATAGATGGGCCCATCCAGTAAGATGCACCCCTGTCACAACATAAAGATGGGCCCATCAGTAATATCATTTATGTTATGCTTCCATCAGGGGTCTTTCCTTTTTCGACTCTTCACAGTCACATGCATCATGTGCCTTGTCGCGTCTCTAATAGTCATTGCCATCCTGGGAGTTCACATGCTCTGAGGAACGTTTGGATCGCCTGCAGTCATTGTGTTTCCAATACCAACTGATGCCACGTTGTTGCTGTGATCCGATATTCCACTGCCCTCTCTGATGGATGACTTGTTCATTTCTCTCTTTATGACTCCTCTCTGACTCATTTATATTGCACTTATGTTGTACTTTAGATCCAGTGTCTGGCTCCTCGCTGTGCATTGATGGCGCAGCCAGTATAGCCTTCAGTTCTCTGCCTGCCCCATTTCTGACACTGTATGACTGTTTTTCTATTTCACTGATGAACTCGTTGACTACTGTGGATACGCATTGTGATGCATCTGTCGTGACTGGTACGGTACTCGCACTTAGGAGTATATAATCCTATGTACTCCATCCTGTATCTGCAGTTTTTCAATAGCTTGCAACTGAGCTTCATCCCTTTACTTTGCCCTTCATTCTCTCTCCATGCGAGCAACCTTCGGGACTTGCCAGCAGACAGAACCTCTGACAGGACATCATAATAACTCAGCCATAGGGGTTACGACAAGTTCAGCCCATAGTCTCCCACCTTGCGTGCTTCGTGCCTATTCCATTTGAAGAAGTCACCATGCTTGGGCATAACAAAATCGAAAAACTCGTGCAGCTTTCGGGACTCATCAACCTCTTTGCAAAAGTCTACTCGTTCCCTGGTTACTGAACTTCAACAAACCAAGAACAATCTTTTAATCATAAAGGCTCGTTGGTCTCCCTCAGAGTAAAGACTAACTCGCCATCTTCCCCACTTCTCAACCTGGACCTACAAACCCGGTAACAAAATTGAGAAACACCCCTCTACCCTTAACCAAGTACACTGCTCTACAGGCAGCCATTAGGCTTTAATAGATTGCCTCCCTAGAGCCCCCTTCTCTCTAGCTGACAGGTTTCTTTTGAGAAATAAATCCTCCCTCAGCTTTCGTTATCACTTACCATTAAAGTGTCTAACCCTCAAGAATTGAAGTCGAGACCTCCAGTCCCTCCACAACCAACAACCCGAGGACTTGGAAGGAACCTGCCTTTACCGCCGATACCTGGAAGGCTAGGGCCATCAATTACCGCTAGCAACCCAAGGCTATCATATTTGTCCTGTTTTAGGGAATTGGAAGTCATGCTTAGTTCAGAAGAAGATGATGATCAGAAGTCCAATACTTCTTTCGGATCAGTCCTCAAGGAAGAACAAGAAGCATGCATGTTACCCGTTATGTCCATGATGATCGGTCACAGAGAGTCAGCCCCTGAGATGCCGCTGAAGGTCTTCTCTGAAGCGGAGCTGAAGGAAAGGTTGGAAGAACAGAGATGCTCTTTGGCAGAAGACTGGCATAAGATAGCCAGTGGACAGTCAAGCGATCCTTTTCCAACAGGTACGCCTACGGACTTGGCATTGCGAGCCTGGTATGCAAGGAACTATGGTAAGGTAATTCCCCCAGAGGTCCCCGTCGGAGGGTCCAGTAAGGGAAAAGCCCCCGTAGACCCCAACAACTCGTATGAAAGCCGCCCACCCAACAGAGGAAGGGAGTTTAATGTCGGGCATCCCAATGAATACGACAGAAGCCACAATGGGCTTCAGACCTGGATCATGCAGGTCGAAGGGTACTTGAACCTGAACAAGCACATTTATAACACGGAGTCACTCAAGATTTTGTTTGCCCTCATGTACATGACCAAAGGAGCGGCCGTTTCCTTTGCCAAAAATTACCAGAACGAAAACAAGCTTCTCGACAGTACTATCTGGTACTCCGATACCTTTCAAAGGTTTGTCAAACATCTCAAAGCTACTTTCGAATCTGGAGATCAGATGGCTCTCACCATCCTTCATCTTTCCGATATCTCCCAAGGCAAATGAGAACTGGAAGCATATATTGCTGAATTTACGGGGCTCATTAACAAGGCTCAACTTAAAGAAGAATCACATGAAGCAGGGATCTTCTTCTGGAAGGGATTAAACAAGGAATATTGCGACTGGGTTCTAAATTCAGGGCACATGCCTTCCACAGTCATCAAGTGGATCCAGTGCATGGGAGAAGCCAGAACTGCAATCGCTACTAAACATATCCTCGAAGGAAAGGAATCCCGGTATGAATGCAAGTTTATTCATTACCGTGGGAGTTCCCAAGATCCTGATGTGATGGATGTCGACAAACACAAATGGAATGTTAGACGTT